TGTGAGTCCAGATTCCTGCTGGTGGCCGGGTAGTGACTGCGGACCTGGGGTAGCCCCTCTGCTTCAGAGCTTGCATCTGACATTGACAGCCATTTCCCTTTGCTGGCAGCTGAGCTGCCTTCTGTGTGCTGAGGCATAGCCAAGGTCCATGTTGTGTTGTTTACAGGAGGTGACTTTCTAGCTGCAGGCTTGATCGGTGGCAGTGAACATGTAACCGGGTACCTCTGAGGATGTGTGAACAAGTCAGGGCTTCTAGGGAGCCCCAAATGAGTGATCTTGTTTCTGGGGAGACCATTCCCCTTGTGAATTCTGTGTTGGCCTGTTGCATCTTTTTTTCTTTAGGTGCAGCTGTCAGCAAAAAGAGAGATTCTGTAGATTCGACCCGCGAACTGCAGAATTTAAGTATCTTGATCCTTGTCTGGAGGGGATGAGGAGTGTACAGTTGCTATGCAGCTACAATTCTGGGCCTCAGTAAGATCTCTGCTAATGCTGGGGTTTTGCAGAAATTTTGCACCCTGTGGTATTGTTGGTAATATCTACGGTGTAGTGCAGGGTTCTCAAACTCAGATCACCACGAGGGCCACGTGAGCACTAGTATATTGGCCCGAGGGCCACATCACTGAAACCTTTACATACAGCGGTACGAAAGGATAGTCAAAAATGAAAAAAAAACGAAGAGTAAGAGAGTATGCTATTAAAAGTAAAAGTATTAACTTTTTTAAAACTGTAATGCGAAGAGGGGCTTTAATAAAATATAAACACTCAGTAATGCACCTCACTCAAATGACAAAGCACGCATTTACTTTTAGAATTACTTCAGTTAAAGCCCCCTCTGCCTCCGGCCCTGCCCCCACTCCATCCCCTCATGAGGCCCTGCCCCTGCCCTGCCCCCTTTCCAACCCCTTCCCCAAATCCCTGCCCCAGCCCCACCTCTTCTCCACCTTCTCCCCTAAGCCTTGTCCCCGCTCCTTCACACCTTCCCCCTCCACCCCCCCCCCAAAGTCCTGAGCACTGGGAGGTAGGCGGAGGAGTGGGAGGGGAGCTTGGCTGTCGGTGGAGTTGGCGCCTGTGGCGGGCCACGTGGTTGAGACCCCTAGTGTAGTGGATGGATAAACAGTCAGTACACAGGGAGGAAAGATGCTCTTGTGGTTAAGGCACTGAACTGGAATTCTGCAGATGTGGGTTTAATCCTTTTTTCTGCTGGGAGCTTCTGGTGTGACCGTGGGCATGTCACCTTGAGCCTGCTTTCCAGAATTACTGAGCAGCCACCGCTCTGAGTTCAGTAGGAACTTGAGGTGTTGGGCTTGATCTTCCGAGGTGCTCTTAATCTCTGGCCAATATCTTCAAAGGTATTTACTCAATTTACTTGCCATTGACTTCAATGGGAGTTAGACATCTCAACACCTTTAGGGATCTTAGCCTCTGTGCCCCACTACTAAAATGGGCATAATACTTCCCTAGCTTACAGGATGATTGTGAAGGTTAACTAATGTTTGTAAGGCACTCTGATGGGGACCAGGGCCATGTGAATAAGGTGTGGCTGAGGCAGGGAGGGGGTTTGATCCCTCTAAGTTTGGGGAAGAGGAACCGCAAAGAGCGGAATCTGTGGTGTTTTTAATAAATGGACTTAAGTTAGGGCCATCTGTTACGAATATTGTGTTTTGGCAGCAAGATGGTGGGAAGATCAATAAAGAAACTAAATACAAAACCGGGAGGAGGAGGAGGAAGAACTTCCACTGTGAAGCTCTAGCAATGAATCACTTCTAGTGCTAGTCCTGAAAATCTTTAGCAGTTACCTGCAAAAGTGTGTTTTACTAATAGATGTAGCTCCTTGAGGCCGGTATTATCTGATGAGTTTTGTGAACACCAGCAGTTGACACTGGCCAAACTCCTTACTTATAAATACAACCAACTGGTGTTAGAACTAAAATGTAGGGTTGTCCTTTTGTAATGAGTACTGAGTCAGGTGATTCTTGTGACCGCTGAACATGGGCCCTGATTCTGCATGGTGGGACTCTGTGCCAGCTGAGGAGGGTGCTGCTCCAGACCGAAGTCCCCTCTTGTTTGTGGTCACTTTATCTTGTGCTCCTTGCCCCTTATCCAAATCTACCTCCCTGATTGAATTGGCTGCCTTCCCCATTGGTAAATATCAGCGCTGGTTGTACAGAAGGTCTGAAGTCCACTTTCCAGTCCAGTGCAGTAAAATCCGATCCCAGTTTGGAGACCGCCACTCTTGGAGATGTTTCTTTCTCCTAGTTTGGCTGTTCACCTTTTCTGACTTGCCTGTTTTTAACCTCATGCTGGATGTTTTGTCACCTTGGTTTTAAGAGTTTCACTCAGCAGGGGAGCCGCACAGGGACAGCTCCTCCCTCTCCTTCCTTCCCACCACCACCCTCCCCCGACTCCCCACCCCCAAACACACACACTGTGGTTCATTACCTTTACATGCCCATAGCTTTTGCATTGCTCCCATCTGTGTACAGGATAAAAACGGTGGCTGCTGCCTTATGCTCGAAGAATGATCAGACACAAGCTTTCTGCAGCCAATGGGATGTGCCCGAGGGTAGCTCTCATACAGTTTATCTGCTCCTGATGTTGGTCCCACCCTTCAGCAGGAATCCAGCTGGATAAGTTGAGGCAATGTCCATATGAAAGCTTCAGTCACTGGTGTAATTACCTGGGTGCAGACCCCCTAGTGCATGTAGATGTGTTGCAACACACAGGTTACCCCTACTGTGGCGCTAATCCAGCTATCCCCTAATGTAGACAAGGCCTGAGGAAAGGGAGCGTTAACCCCTGAAAGCGTGGTATGTTTTTAGATTGTGAAGGCATTTCAGAATTGATTGCCTAACATAGGAGCTGCTAAGAAGGATCCTTGGGGCAGGGACTGTCTTCCTCTGCCTCATGCAGTCCCAAACGGACTATGGAGAGCAAATCAGTACTGCAGCATATCCGAGGACTGGTGCACCCAAAACATGAGGAACTTATTGCACAGCTTTGGCCTGAAGTGCTGTTGAATGCATGAGACTGGGCTACTCCAGGCTAACTTTGCCAAAAATGCCAGTTGGTTTTTAAAGCTAAATCATGTTAGTGCTTCACTGATATAGGAATACTGGTATAGCATTACTGGCGACCTGCTTCTGGAGTGGACACGGATGTACTGGTATAGCTGTGTCTAACACTGGGGGCTTTTGCTAGCCCAGCTGTGGCTGTCAAGGATCACGCCTGCTTGACTTGGCTGTATCTGCAGCAATCTGCAGTGTAGATGCAGCCTAAGAACTGGGTCAGCTAATGATATTGTAACTGGTTCTATGGAAACTGTTCAGACCCCATGGAAGCCTCTTCTAGGCCAAGGCTTCAACTGCTGATGAAACCAGTTTAGCTGAACTGGCTTTGAAACTAGTTAATTCTTGAGGGGGAGCAGGGAAGGTAGGCGGACTTCCAGTGTCACCAAGCATCTGGGACCCTGGCTATAGCCTGAAGATAGTCTCATAAACCGCTGTTAACCAGAACTAACCTAAATGCTGCAGCAGGGTGGAATTTCTAGAGTCACATGCTTCAGTATTCAGGTTTTCTTAAGCTGCCCCCAAGATGTCAGTAATCAACAGACTGGAAAGGGCCAGTCTCCATTCTTACCTAAAGCACATCGCTTCAAGTAGCCGTGAGTTGTTGCATGAGTCTTTAATAGCAATTCTTCTGTAAGCTTTCCAGTCTGTTCTACTGGAATCTAGGTCTTGGGTAAGAATCTGGGTTTTAATTTGGTTCCTACAGAGCTTGATTTCATTCACAAGGGTTAATTTTAAAGAGAAGCAGCTTTTTAACATCAGTCTTACTCTGTTTAGACAAGATCTGTGAGTGGCATCCGGTTTTGCAAGCATAGAGTATTTTGCTAACTTTCTAGCCTCCATAACAGATTGTGTTTCACAAAGAATAATGGGGAGATATGGCTGATATGTGTTTAAAACAGTTAACCTTTGGTGATAATGCAGTAATAGATACAATACATCGAGTCTGGTAGCTGCTTTATAACCGTATGAGTTATCAAGTTAAGCTGGCAGTTCATCAAGCAAAGCAATATCACTTTGAGTATATGCTTGTTTTATCATGGCTTTAGTGTCATGTACAAAACGTTAGCAGCTAATGCAACAGCCTTAAGTGAGGGACAAAGTTCAGGTTTGTGTATCTGCAATAAATGAAGTAGTTACAGGGAGATGCCAGACTTTATTTTCAAGTTATTGTGTACATACAATCGTAGACCAACCTTTCTGGTTTATTACAGCTCAGACATTGAAATGATTTGTCTCCACCTCTTGCTCAAGGATATAAAAGTGTTTTATGAGTATTAAGCCCTTGTGAGGTAGACTATTGCGGCCGCTTACAGATGGGTAAACTGAAGCACTGAGGTGACTTCACCAGGTCAGAGGCAGAGAGAGAACCTGGGAGCCATGGTGTCCAGTTTCTGCTCCAACCGCTCCCACTCTATGATGTGGAAAGGCTTTCTGGCTATTGGCTTGTGAGTGTATAGTTGCTAAAACTCCAGCATCTAGTGCTGCTGTGATAACCGCTCCAGATGAGAACTGGGTTCATTTTTGACTGGGTCTTGCAGTGGGAGGTAGAGGTATGTCTCATCAGAGTGGTACAGCAGTAGGGGAGGGACAGATGCATTCTTCAGTCCTCTAAATCACATCAGCACAACATGCTGCCTGTGTTGGATCTCTCATTTCCACTGGCTAGTTAAGGGAAATAGACATGGATCTGTCTGCACCTTCCAAATCTGCTTGTCAGTTGGGGAAATAGTTGAAATATGGTTAGGTGGGTGGGAAGCACTACAGGGCTAGTCTCATGAGCTGAAGGCTAGTTTGAGTCCAAGTATCTGTTCCCATTTTCAAGAGACCAGCTTCCGAGAGGCTTCTGGATTTCAAACTGGACGGTATGACATGAAATGAAACCATTGATCACATGTCTGAAGCGTCCTTAACACAGCTGGAAGTGAAATAACCCCTTTGGAGGCTTCTGGCTCACATTAAACTTGTGACCAAGGATGAGAGAGCTGGGGGAACTTCCCCAGAGTCTGCAGAGTTCCTGGGTTTTTCAAGTCTCTGGATCCCACTGGGCCCTAATTGTGTCTTAATGTGAGATTATCACTTTGCCCCCTTCAAGCCAAGTGGTGAAATTCTCAACTCCGCATTATATTTTGACTCCCTTGCAGAATCCGACATCAGGGTTTTGTTCTCCATTGTAAAGGTTACCTGTGCTATCAGATGAGCTAGACAGTTTAAATCTATGGAGGAACTCTCCTATATTCATATTATAGGAATTCATAGAGCTAGTAAAGCAGAGAGCATTGTGCTAGATGCTATATAGTAAAGCAGGGAGCATCTCCTGTAGAGCTTGCCATCTTAAGACCATGGGTACACTGTTCAGAAGCACCAAGACATAGGGCTTGTCTACACTACCGGCCAGGTGGATGGGCAGCGATCGATCCAGCAGGGGTCGATTTATCATGTCTAGTATAGTCGCGATAAATCGATTGCACTAGCGTCGACTACAGTACTCCACCTCAATGAGAAGCGCAAGGGGAATCGATGGGAGAGCGTCTCCCGCCGACTCACCACAGTGAAGACGTCGTGGTAAGTAGATCGAAGTACGTCAACTTCAGCTACAAGAAAAGGAGTACTAGTGGCACCTTAGAGGCTAACCAATTTATTTGAGCATAAGCTCTCGTGAGCTACAGCTCACTTCATCGGATGCATCCGATGAAGTGAGCTGTAGCTCACGAGAGCTTATGCTCAAATAAATTGGTTAGCCTCTAAGGTGCCACTAGTACTCCTTTTTGCGAATACAGACTAACAGGGCTGCTACTCTGACTTCAGCTGCATTGTTCACGTAGCTGAAGTTGCATAACTTAGATCGATTTCTCTCCCCCTGCCCTCTCCTCCCCACATAGTGTAGAACAGCCCTTGGGAGCCTAAATCCCATTTTCAAATATGATTTAGATGTTTCACCCCCATTTTCAAATGTGACATGGGCACTCTCCATGCTTTTATCCAAGATCTGTCTCTCTTCACCCTCCCCATGTGTTGCTCTTGTGGGTCAAGAGCTGGGACATATGCAGTTGCACAGAGACTTGCAAGTGATTGAACAGCCTGTCAATCACTTTCTTCTAACACTGTTTTGTTACAAAGAAACTTGCAGCAAAAATCCAATGCTGCCATGAGACTTGTGTTTGTAAAACCTCATGTGGATTCTACTTCCACTTGCATTTGGCCTGAGCTAGGAGCATCCGCAAACTGCTTAAAGGTTGGCTGCAGCCTACTTTAGCTGTTTACTTGTACAAAGCATGACCTCTGCAGAGGTGCTCGGCTTGATTAAAGATGGTTCAGTCAATTATAGGACTGATTCTAGTGCAGAAGGTTCTCTGTTGGGGTTTTAACTTTTCTGTTTGACTGGATCCTGTCTGCATTGGAGTCTGTTGAAGTTACTTACCTGCTCTGTACCTCATTTTCCCTATCTGTAAATATGGAGATAACACACTGCAACCATGCCAAGAAGTATACTTGTTCATAAGCTGAATTTTTTTTGGTAAAAAAAGTGAAGCATCAAAGAGTGGGGTATGGCTTATCAATGGGTCTACACCAAAAGTTGACTATTTCTATTGAATTGAATATCTAATACATTGTCGTTGTAGATCAGAGGTCGGCAAACTTTGGCTCCCGGCCCGTCAGGGTAAGCTGCTAGCGGGCCAGGACATTTTGTTTACCTGGGAGCGTCCATAGGCATGGAGCCCTGCAGCTCCCACTGGCCACAGTTTGCTGTTCCCAGCCAATGGGAGCTGCAGGAAGTGGAAGCCAGCAAGTCCCTTGGCCTGCGCCGCTTCCCACAGCTCCCATTGGCTGGGAACAGCAAACTGTGGCCAGTGGGAGCTGCGGGGCTCCATGCCTACGGACGCTCCCAGGTAAACGAAACCTCCCAGCCCGCCAGAGGCTTACCCTGACGGGCCGGGAGCCAAAGTTTGCCGACCCCTGAAATACAGGGTCAGCTTATGAAAGGGCCATACAGTTTTTGCCATTTTTACCTATTCATCTTGGGGAGTCGGCTTATAAACAAATGGGCTAACGAACGGGTATATATGGTAAGTATTTGTAGAACAGTCTAGTCCTGATCATTGTATAGGGCAAGCCTCAATAGCACTGTGCTTGGGACACCAGCAGTCCTTCATCTAAGGGAGAAACCCTTCCATGCTCTGAATTTCCTACTCTTCAGAGTGTGATACCAGCTGATTAAAGAGGAACTGATCAAGTGCAACTAAAAAAGAAAGCTGTGTGGAGAGAAGAGGAAGTGGTGGGAGCATGACAGAATACTAGCCAGTCACTTCAGTGTGTAATCCAGCTGCACCCAGGGTGTGGGAACTGGGTACAAACTGGTGCTTAGCTGAGTCCTGTTTGCTGCTTTGCCTCTCACCTTGAACTAGACTTAAAGCCTCTTCAGAATCTTTATGCCCCAGGCTAGCGGGTCGAAAGCAGGCAGGAAGATGTCAGCAAACATTCAGCTTTTTGATTCTTGTGAGAAACTTAGCAGCAGCTTGTTCTGCCAGACTCACTCACTGATACACTGGGGCAGTCTCGTTGCATGTTGTGGTTTTTTTTAAGTACTGAATTGCTTTGCTGAACAAATACAATAGAAGAATCAGGCTGCTTAAAAGCTATACATCTCTCTGGCTGCGGACCGAACTTAAATGCAGAAAGCGTGTATTTGTTTTCAATTTGGTTCTGGCTCACTGGAGAGCAACGGTCTCTACCTCAGTGTCTCAGATTGCGGAATCTGATATGAATTCACAACCTTCTCTGTCTCCGATTTTGTACAAACAAAGTGCTGTCAACTAATACTGAAACTGAGTCCCGCTAGTTGCCCCACTGTCTAAAAACAAAACCCTGCAATTTACAAAGGGCTTTTAAATCTTAAATGCCGGACAAATGCCAGTTACGTATTCTGATCTTTCTGAGGTAGGAAAGTACGTGCATCCTCCTCTTACAGTAGCAGTTCAGTGACCTGCTCAAGACTGCAGCGGGAATATTAGATTAGAACCGAGTTTTAGGCTAACACATATGCTTAGGGCTCTTGGGGCCAGATTTTTCCAAAGAGCTCTGCACCCTTGGGAGATGGTGGATGATCGGCACTTGAAAATGTGGCCACTTCATTTAAGTGCCTAAAGTGGGAGTGGAGCTCTTGAAACTCTGGTCCAAGTTATGCTGTCTGAGCCCTGGGAAAGTCTGGCCCTCAGACAGTGCCTCTCTCAAGTAAAAGAACGAGGAGTACTAGTGGCACCTTAGAGACTAACAAATTTATTGGAGCATAAGCTTTCGTGAGCTAAAACCCACTTCATCAGATGGATGCCCCAACTAAGAATTTGGCAAAAGTTTGCCTGGGCCAGCAGTTCTTCCGTAGGATGGTGTTAAATCCTGCAGCACCAGAACTGAAGTATCATCTGGTAGCCTACATCTGAAATGGTAGCCTGTCTAAACGCTGCCTCCCAAGAAGACTGTTAAACACGTTCTCTCTGATCTAGAGCAGTCTGCTGGATGTTTTCATCTGACCCATCATAGAAGACTACAGTTCTGCAGAATTTAACATTATATTTAAGATTTTAGCCCTTGTGGCTGTGGAAAAAAGCCATTGGGATTTGACTCAGTGCAGTGGTGGCTCACTTGGCTCTGCAGCCGCTCGAGGTCTGATTCAGCATTCCCCTGTGTGGCCTAGCCACTTACGTCAGTGGTGAGTGAGTGTAGAACGACTTGATAGTGAGTTACGCTTGCTTTCCACTGACATAAATGATTACTTGAGGCACAGGGTATTAGTGAATTGAGCCCGTAGCATGCTTGTTTTCAGCCCAGCTGTTGACTCTGAAACCTAATGACGTTGCTGGCTTGCTGAATGTTTCTGCTAAAATAAAAGCAGTGAAATGCTTATCCATTCTGTTGGCAGTGGCAGCTGATCTAGCATGTGAGGCAGCTTCTTCTCGGTGCCTTCTGAACCCCCTTGCCCAACTGTGAGTGGAGGTGGGTAGAAATGAGCCCTGTGTCTCTCACTAGCGAGTGATGCTGAATGCAATAGCTAAGGGATAGCATGGTTGTTATACAATGGCCAACTCTACCTCTGTGGGCTGGAGTGGTGGAAGAAAGAGGCAGATGAAGTAGAGAAGGGGATCTGAAAAGTGCAGTGTAGATGAGGCATTGTGCTTGTTATAGTTGGCATCGGTGGGCTCTGTAGTTGGGTGACCCTGGATCTAAGTTAATAGAAGTTTATTGTTTGGGAAATAGCGTCTAAGAAATCTATGAAAGATTTGGCCAAAGTATCCAACTGTAACTATCAGTGGCTTGACTCTTTGTATAAGGAGGCTCTCTGGGAGGTGCCAGGGGATGTAATTAAGCAAGTGTTGCACCTTTAATGGCTACTGGGAGCTATGGTTGGGTATAGAATTCCTGCACTTCCCTCCCCTGCAGCATAATCTAAAAGGGGAGGATGAGGATTGCTCAGTAATATGAATGACTCCTTTCTGGGCATTGGGTAGGACCAGTAAGGCTAGCCTATGTTTATCAGGTTGCCATGGGTAATTAGAGGATGTTTACAGTTTAAAAATCACACTTGTGTTTGAAATATTCCTCCAAGTAACTCCCAAGTGTGACTAGAGGAAAACAGAATCTTTTTTTCTCTTGTCAGTATTTGTGCATTTGACAGTGTTTTGTGTATTGTCAGTTTCACAATCCATCCCCCTCCAGCCATGTTAGTCAGTTTCCTGTATTTCTGTAGGTCTTCTCACACAGCAACAGGGGAGAGAAACCTTAACCATACAGGAAACTGTGACTAAAACCCATAAACTAGAAGGGGATCTGGGGGCAGTGTCTGAAACTACTAACTTCTTGGTGAAACAGAGTCTGGATTTCAAGTTGCATCCCACTGAAAGTGCTGATATAAGAAGGGTTAGGTTAAAAATAAATAACATTTACAAGGTCAGAAACTTTTCTTCCAGGGGAGTTCTTGTGGTTTCCCCTCTCAAAGAAAAAAGTACATGTAAACTCTGGAAATGGCCAGAATGACGTTAGCAGTAAAGATCACTCAGAGATGTGCTCTGGAAACTTAGCTCTGAGTGGGAGGAGGTAGCTGGTGGTCAGTGAGCGCCCTTCAGTTGAATTGATCTCTGCATAAAGGACTCCATCAGCACCACTAAAGCTGATGGCACTGGGTACTTGGCAGGCCGCTATTAAAAACTTGCAGCTGGCCCAGGCCAACTGGCTCGGGCTCAGGGGCTGTTGAATGCCAGCGTAGATGTTTGGACTTGCGGCTGGGGAGCCCGTGAGGTGGGAGGGTCCAACCGAGCTGCAACCTGATCCCAAACGTCTACATGGCAGGTAAACAGCCTCAAAGCCTGAGCCCCATGAGTCCAAGTCAGCTGACACGGGCTAACTGTGGGGATGTGATTGCAGTGTAGACGCACCCTTACGCTTAGTCTTTGCCCCAAAGAGCTTTCTGATTGTTGTCTGTGCAGGGCTGTGGTTTGACACCTTTGGCTCCCTTTCCCATCCTGAAGGGTGGATGCATGGGGGAGCAGTTGGTATGCATTCTCTTAGGACCTCAAGCATAACTGAATCGATAGCCACTAACTGCTCTGGGATGGAGTTCAGAATAGGGCTTTGCAGAAGTCCTGTTGTACCAAAAAGCCATAAAGAGAAGGTACAGGTTGTCAGGATATAGCTATTCAGGCCGGTCTGTAAAGGCCTATACTCTAAGAATTTAGGTGTATTCTTATCACTTGGCTAGTGATAGAGGTATAAAAGAAAGAATCAAAACCACTGGCTGCCAGTGTAAGGGCCTTCTCTTACTGTGACAGTTTGTGGCCCTGTGCTTAGGCTCAGGCCTTTGGCTAAGCAGCAGAGGCAGCCATAAGCTGGGAAGCGAACGGTCACATCCTCACATTCCAAACTAGTCACATTGAAATAAGGTGCTATTGGGCTGTTAGGCACTATCAGGACAGGATTGTATTCCTATCACCTCCAGAGAAAGGGAAGTGCCTAGAAAATGTAAAAGGAAACTTAGTTTGATAGCATCCTGTCTGGCAAGAACTCACTTATCAATAGCTGGGATGTGAAATCCTCACTTCTGTATTGTTTTGTCATTATAGTTCCCACTTTGCTGTTGTTTGTCTGTATAATCTCTGTCTGGTTCTGTGATTGTTCCTGTCTGCTGTATAATTAATTTTGCTGGGTGTAAACTAATTGAGGTGGTGGGATATAATTGGTTACATAATCATGTTACAATATGTTAGGATTGGTTCGTTAAATTTCAGGAAAATGATTGGTTAAGGTATAGCTAAGCAGAACTCAAATTTTACTATATAATCTGTAGTCAATGAGGAAGTGACTGGGTGTGGGTGGGGGTGGGCATGTGGGTGTGTGAGATGGGAACAGGGAATGGGGGTAAGAAAATTGGAATCCTGTTTTGCTAAAGGGGGAAATGGGAACAGGGAATGGGAGTAAGGAAGTTGGAATCATGTTTGGCTAAGGGCAGGAATGGGAACAGGGACACAGGTGTAAGGCTTTGTGGTGTCAGAGCTGGGAAGGAGGATACTAAGGAAGGAAACTGGAATCATGCTTGCTGGAAGTTCACCCCAATAAACATCGAATTGTTTGCACCTTTGGACTTCGGGTATTGTTGCTCTCTGTTCATGCGAGAAGGACCAGGGAAGTAAGTGGGTGAAGGAATAAGCCCCCTAACACAGGTCACTCGTGTCTTCATTGTACTCTTCCTCTTAGCAATGGAGAATATTTTTGTTTAAGCCATTTAAACCCACGGCCCAAGCCGTGGCGCTTCTGGGGTCTTCTCTGTTTTGGAAAAGTTGCATGAATGTAACTAAATCTTCAAAAGCAAACTTGAAAATTTTACCTTTTGTCTGCTCCATCCACAACGTGAGGTTTGATCACTATGTCCATTGGTCAGTGTAACGCTGTGCCTCTGGATTGGTAGTCTTAAAGCATGAGCTTCTGTTGCCCATGCTAAAAGACCCAGCTCTTAGTCCCAAGACACACAGAGGTTGACCCCCCATCTCTCATGAGAAGGCCTGTGAGCCCTGCCTGCACTAGGGGTTTTAGCAAAAGATTCCTGCTGCTGCTAAAATTCCCTAGGGTGGGCAGGGCCATAATGACAGAATGTCAGGACTCAAAGGCCATCTCCAGCAGTACAGTGCCTCTTACCCATCCTGCTTGGGCACTGATTCAAAGGGGAGAGTGCCACCTACTGATTTGCCATGAGCACTTTGGGCTGCAGTTTGGGATTGAAGTTCGGGGGTGTGTGTGGGGGGGTAGTTCTCGTAAACTAATTTGCCTTGAAAACAGGAGGACGGTCCTTTCACGAAGATCCTTTGGCATTATATAACACAAATGAATAGCTTGCACCGAATTTTATTTAAGTTGTTGGCAGGGAAGAGGAATGGATTGTGCAATTCTGGAGGTCTCTGCATGTGATCCTTTTGGCAACCAGTGCAGTACTGTGAGTCTAACAAAGCAGCACAGCCCCCTCCCTACAATATCCTTCTCTGCTCACTTGCAGTGTGTGTCCATTACCCTGCTTATAATCACGTGACAGGCTCTGCCTAACAATAGCTGGCATCTGTTTCTACAAGTCCTTGCCAGGAAGAACACCAGTTAGGAAGGGGTTAGCTGTGCATGTAGGCAGATGCAGTGCATGGATTGACGTGTGGGTCTGTTTCCAGGTGAAGAGTACTGCTCTGTGACCAAGATGTGGCAGTCTGTGTCTGCCCTGTGTATCCTGGTGACCCTCGTGAGTGCCCGCAGCGTCCCCTACTTTGCTCCCCTCTCACACGATTTGGTCAACTACATCAACAAACTCAACACTACATGGCAGGTGAGTAGCGGTGCTTTTCCTCCTGTGCGCTCGATGCCGGTGGCCAGGTTGCTGATGGAGAGCAGTGGTCCTGTGCACTGGTAGTGACTGGATGGATGGATGCGATTCCTGCCCCATAAGTGTGTTCCAGCCCTGACTCAGAGGGACCACCTTGCACAGCCTGGATAGCTGTGTCTAGGCAAACTTTGCCTCTCCTAAAGTTGCCTGCCATGTCTGGATTTTGCTGGCAGCTGTTCACTGGGATCTGAAATCCTCTTGCATAGGTCACTAAGCAGCCATTAATGTATGTTTTCACACAGCACCTCTTCCTTGCAGAAGATCTCAAAGCACTTTTCAAACTGTGTAAGAAACTCTGAACTGTCAGCCCCACAGCAAAGTTAGCAGGAAGTGACTGTCCTATAATGAGCGTCCTGCTGGCAGTGCCAGTTATGTAAACAGGATGTTAAAAGCACACCTGGAATTCATCCAGGTCGGATGTCTATTTGGGAAAGGGCAAGGGGGGCTTTAAGCATGTGGGCGCAGCTTGAGAATTCTCATCCTGGGAGCAACACAGCGCCTCCTTTTGCCATGTTAGGGCACTGGCTTGCTGAACTGCCAGCCCCACTGCCTGCAGCATCTGGGTCATCTGTGAAAGTCAGCCAGCCAGACGCTGACCCGGTCTCTGTATTCTTGGCTGACAAGATTTGATGCAGTCGCAGCCAAAGGTGGGTGTGATGGCAGATGGTAACTACTCTTGGTCACTGTCCTGAAATCCATTGGCTTTTGGGAGGCTGTGCGGCCTAGTGGATAGAGCACTGGAGTAGGGGACCCAAGAGACTTGGGTTCTATTCCCGGCTCTCCCACTGGGTGATCTTAGGGAAGTCACTTCACTTATCTGCCTTCATTATTTCCATTGTACAGCTGGGGAAATGATACTGACCTCCTGTGTGAAGTGCTTTGAGACCCATGAGTGAAAAGCGCTATCTAAGAGCTAGGTATAATGATTAGATGTAAATCTGCATCCTGTTAACCCAGCCTGGATGTTGCTTTATGCACACCGGGTAGCCTGTCATTCATATTTCTTGTATGCTGCCACACCATTTCCCATAGCTTGGATCAAAATCGCTTACTGCCAGCATAAAATACCTACATGCAACCATGAAGGCTGAAGGTCCGTGTATGCTAGGACAATAACCCATAGCTCACAATGGCTCTTACCCACCAACTGAGCTGCTACTGTCCATGAGGCTCATGTAGCCTCCATACTCCCAGTAACGATACCGGCTATGGGTTCAGCCTCATGTGGAAGGCCATGCCTACACTACAGGGACTATCGCAGCCTAGTTTGGGCACTGTAGCATAGCCCTGTAGTGCAGACACCGTCTATAGCAAGGGAACTGGGTTTTCCATCACTATAGAAACACCACTCTCCAAGCTATGGTGGCTAGTAGACAGGACCTAGCTGTATCTGCTGACCTAGCCCTATAGCTTTGGCGCTCAGGAAGGGTGGATTTTTCACACCTCTGAGCACCGTAGCTATGTCGACCAGGCCAAAGCATGTTTGGGAATGAAGGAGATGGTGGTTGCTGCTGATAGAGCTGTCAGCGAAGAGGACTTTTCCTCCTTTGGAGGAATCCTGGCTAGCCCAGCCTTGAAATGCAAAATGGGTGTCTCCATGCATGACGGTTGGTTGTATGAGACCTGCTGTAGCCAGTGGGCTATTAAACACTCAGTAAAATGGTACTGAATGAGGCATGTTCCCAATTTACCAATCCAATCGTAGAGTATTTGGGTTGGAAGGGATCTCAGGAGGTCATCTAGTCCAACCCCCTGCTCAAAGCAGGACCAATCCCCAATTTTTGCCGCAGATCCCTAAATGGCCCCCTCAAGGATTGAACTCCCAAGCCTGGGTTTAGCAGGCCAATGCTCAAACCACTGAGCTATCCCTCCTACACAATGGCTGTATATGACTGCCATTGACCCTGATGAAAAGGCTATTAAGATAAGAGTGAGCAGTGCAGCATATTCGAGATGCTAATTGATTCTAACTGGGAGTAATGAATGGATGGGAAGACAACTGCTGGAGAGAGGGGGCTTTGCAAGGAAAAGACCCCCTGCGAAACATAGCAGCCGTAACGAGAGAGCTGGGCAAGCTGTCTGACCTATCCTGGAGTGCTGGGGAAACCCTGCTGAGGAGTAACCATCAGGCAAGACTTACCATGGCAGGCAGAGCGTGTTGAAACCCAAAGCTCCGCGGGCAGTGAGTGGTATCCCTCCTTGCTGGAGTGCTGGGCACAGGTGGCTGTGTTTACCTGGTCAACAGGCTAGCGTTGCTCTCATTTCACGTTGGCAGGTCATGCTGCGTCCTGATCTACCAGTATAGAAGGACAAATGCGTAGTAGCAGAATGAAAGGGACCCAACTGATCACTTGTGTGTCTGAATCTTACCTGCTTGTGTTACCAGTCAGGCTTTAGCTCTGTCTCCATGATGAACTAGCTGTGTGACTCCCAGCAGAGCCGTCCCTAGGGTATGGCGAATCAGGGCGACTGCTCCAGGCCCTGCGCTTCGATTAAAATCGTGATGAGGCGGGTGGGCGAGCGGGCTGAGGAGGCGAGCGGCAGACAGGTGGGGGGGAGGAGCCCCCTCCCCACAGCGCCTCCTGCCTGCTGGCGTGCCCTGCCAATCAGTGCTTCCCCCTCCCTCTCAGCACCTGCAACCTGCTGCGGATCAGATGTTTCACAGGGTCAGGAAGTGCGAGGGGGGAAGAGGCAGGGGTGGGAAGAAGTGGAGTGGGGTCTTGGGGGGTGGAGTGGGGGCAGCCCCCCCCCGGCAGTTCAGAAACTCTGCACCTATGTCCTGGCCCCCCCCCCCCCCCCAGGGAAGGTCCAGCTTACATACATGTACTCGCACTCGCTTGAGGAGACTAGCACGAGTATAGAGATCAGAGTAGCCTGGTCAGTTTGTCCTTGGTATTCAGGCGGGTTTGTACTTGGCGCAGCTACGGTGTGATAATCTGCAGCAGATGTGTACCGGAACCGGGAGTCGCGCCCCGAGCTCACATTACAGCCTGCGTGTGAGACAACTAAAAGGAGGGGGAGAGGGGAAGGGTGATCCAGTGGTTAGGGCACTCCCCTCAGGCTTGCGGGGCCTGGATTCAATGTTGTTCTCAGCTGCAGGCTTAGCCTCTCCCCAGCTAAGTACCCTCGAGGATCTGGGCCTTAGTCTCTTAGCCCATCTGTAGAATGGTGGGTAGCACTTCCCTATTTCCATGGAGTGTTGAAATACACTGAAGACTGAGGTGCTCAGCTGCAGTGAGGCTAGAGAAGTACCTTGGGTAGATCAGAGACTCATTTCTTTCTGTCCGGGTGCCATGGTGTCTGGTTTTGGGGTCTATCTTTCACTGGCAAGAGCAGAAGGACACTTCAGAAACTTGGCAATTGTGACTAAAACCCACAAGAATTGGCAGAGGGAGGCTCTAAGGGGCAGGCGTTGCCCCTGAAAATGCCTGGGTGTTCCTCCTTGGAACAGGCCGGGTGATGGTCATTGCTGGTATTGAGGTTCAGTGTTCTCTCTCTTCTCTCCCCCCACCCCAGGCTGGGCACAATTTCCACAATACCGACATGAGTTATGTGAAGAAACTGTGTGGTACATTCCTGCACGGGCCCAAACTGCCGGTGAGGTGAGTGCTGTGGGGTGTAACACATGGGGCTCCTTCGAAGGGTGGGAGAGGAGAGGTGTTTCCAAGCTAGGAAACCCCTACAACGCTTCATATCCTTCTTTCCCCCTCCACCGTACCTCTGCCAGCCTTTCCCTGTACAGGAGCCTAGTGTTGTGGAGATCCCTTGCTGGGGTACTGAACAGAACTCCCTCCAGAACTTGGCTAATGCTCACTTGTGAATTGCCAGCACTTGGCATTTTTTTTTTTTTTTGAGGCTTTGTGCAACTCAAACTTGGGACCAACTTAGGACCACCCTGTCCAAGCCTCCACACCTTTCCCCCACCTGTCTCTTAATAATGCAGTGTGCTTTGATAGCTCCTTCATTCGAAGGTCTGTGCTGTGCTCCCAGACACCACCCGGTATCTTATAGACATGGGGTTGGGGGAAAGTGACTCATCCAGCATCCTACCGGAAGTTTGGAAGTGCTGGGAATGGAACCTAGACCTGACACCCAGTCCTGTGCTTTCCGAACCCTGCTTGTATTTACACAGCCAATGTCCGTCTAGCTCAGCTGGAAGCTATGGGCTGGATGCAGAAATCGCATGATAGAATTTTCCAGCCTTATTTTGCAGGAGGCCAGATGAGAACTGCAGTGGACCCTTCTGGCCTTAATCTGTGACTAGAACTACAGTAAAACCCCGTTTGTCCAGCTCTCCGCAAACAACCAGCGCACGCAGGTCCAGAAGTGGGCCATCTCTCCTGTGACCACGAGAGGGTGTTGCAGCCTTGCACTTCCCATTCTCTGGATTATCTGTTTTTGATTATCAGATCTGGCCCTGTTCCCATCTAGAGCGGATAAACAGGGCTCTGCCATACTGTAGAGTGTAACACGTGGGGCTCTTTTGAAGGGTGGGAGAGGAGAGGTGTTTCCAGGCAAGGAAACCCCTACAACGCTTCATATCCTCCTCTTCCCCCTGCACCATACCTCTGTTCTGGGCCCAGAGCAGTGCGGTGGGGTCTACTATACCCTGAGCCCACCTAGTCATGGGGTATCTAACTGCTCAACCTTGAGACATTTGTCTTGGGTCTCTTCTAAAGCGAGTCAGTGTAGAAATGTCAATTTCTGTTAACTTGGTCTCACAACATGAATCCTTCATGTAACTTGGATGGCTGCCTTCCATTACAGGGCCGAGTTTGCTGGAGAGATGAACTTGCCGGACAGCTTTGACTCCCGGGACCAGTGGCCAAATTGTCCAACCATTAATGAGATCAGAGACCAGGGCTCCTGTGGCTCTTGTTGGGTAAGAGGATCATACTGCCAACGGGGAGCAATCCGCTGTGGCTGCAGCCATGCAGATGTACCTGAACGAGCTAGATCAAAGCGAGCTCCAGTAACAAAAGCCATAAAGCTGTAGCATGCCACTCAAGGATGTACCCAGAGTCCTGGGCAGGCAGGGCTAGCTCGTGCCACCACCTATGCATCTGCAGCTTCACTGCCGTTGTTCCTGGTGGCTTAATTAGCTCTGCGTGCACAGAATGTGCTGCTCAGAATTACTCCGGGGATGTGCGGGTTTGCCATTAAACTGCAGAGAAGCTGTCTCAACACATGGCATAACCACTGTGGTGCAAGTTATCATGCCTCACAAAAGGAGGAGGGGACCTGACAGTCTGTGTAGTGAGAGGTGAGTGTGTGTGGTCTATGCTGCCTTATCTTCCAAGAGAATCCAAGCCTCCATGGGCTGCAGTAGCATCTCTGTCTCCAAACAGCTGGACTGGGACATGCACTCATAAAAACTCCATCTTAGAGGAGCCCTGCGCAGTGATCCGGGGTATACCTGGTGAGGTGGGAAACATTGCTGCTGTTAGAACTTAACAGCCACCTGCCGTTGGCTCTCTAAAGACACAGGGCTCTATTTGCAGACTGGCTGAAATGTCCATCAGTCCAATAGGTGCAGCCTTGCCCACACGACCCTCCGGCCCAGACAGCAGTCCCACACAGTCAGAACAAATTCCCTTGGGACTGGAGCCACCTTAGTGCATGGTCCAGTCGTGTGTCTCCTTGGTAGCAAACACTCCAGGCCCTCCCCTTCCCTTGGAGGGTGCATGATGCTCTTCCCTCTGTGTTTTGTAGGCGTTTGGTGCAGTGGAGGCCATTTCGGACAGAGTCTGCGTGCACACCAACAGCAAGATCAATGTGGAAATCTCGGCAGAAGATCTGCTGTCTTGTTGTGGCTTCGAGTGTGGGATGGGGTGAGCAATTCTCATGCTTCAAAGAAATGGCTAGCAGGACCTTTGTGCCAGCCCAGAATATAGACCAGTGAGCCAGACTGTGTACTGCACTGACCTCCCCCTGACTTTCCAGTCTAGGATCAATAAATATTAATATTTTGTGTAGTGCCTAGGGTGTAAAAGGGTGACCTTGTGTTCTCCGCTCTGTGGTGGGGGTTCCTACACACTTCTGCTGCCAAGGACCTTTGGTAATGCTCTTCTGGCATCTCTCTAGGTTCGAGGGGAAACAAATGGTATTGGGGGGTGGGGGGAAGACTCCCATCATTTTGATCCATCTTCATGCTGGTCATTGAAGACCTTACAGCTGTGTAAAGTCCTAGATCTAACTTGCAACCTCCAGGCCATCTCCCTAAACTGAGGCTTTGACAGAAATGGAATGAGTTTATACTCTCCCTTTTGATTTGGGACTGAAAGCTTCAGTGTTATGGCCACACTTTTCTGTGGCTTCTCTCCAAACTGGAACGTTGGCAGAAATACTAAATCGTGCAGGAGTAGAACTCCAGGGTGTCAGATTAGCTTACCCTTTGACTGGTTGGTAGAAGACCCCGCATGAGAGCGAGTTAGTGTTAAGCTTTGACCTGCAAGCAGATTATGCCTGGTCTTAACTGCAAGCATGTGTGGACTCTTTTGCTGCATTGGGACCACTCATGTTCCTTGAGTTAAGCAAGTGCGTAAGTGTCTGTCTGCAGGATCGGAGTCTGTGACCATCTGGACCCTGTGCTAACCCCAGTGTTGCTGTATTTCCCTGTCTCACGTCATGCACAAACTGAAAAGTTACACTTGGCGGGTGCAGAGCAGGCCCTGCCTTTTAGACCAGGAGCTTGGGAGTCAGGACTCCTGGGTTCTCTTTCTGCTGCTACTGGATGTATGGCTTTGGGCACACCTGGTTCCAGTTATCCTTCAGTCGAGTGGGCACAGTGTTCCTTGGGGGCAGAGGCCTGCAAAGCAGCTGATGAAAAGGACGTAGGCAGCAAATATTGCTTGTAACCAAAGAGAAGGCAGTGCATCCTAATGGCCAGAGTATTGACTGGGATTTGGGAGACCTAGGCTCTGTGTCCTCAGCTCTTCCATTAGCCTGCTGCGGGACCATGAGCAAGTCCCTTCACCACTCTCTGCCTCAGTTTCCCCATCTGTAAAGAGGAACTATGTATTGCTACCCTGCAACCCTCCTTTAAGCACTGAGATCTAGAGAGGCAAACCAGCTAGGAATAAGCCTCTCCCCCACCTGGCTGCTCCAAGCTGTAACAGTTCTATTGTAGTGGGAGCCTGACCATCAACGATCCGCTTCCGTACTCCGCGCATCTTAATTCTCTAGTGCGTGTGCTCGAGTGTTACTAGATGAACTGGCTTGTGTCAAAAGCGGCCCTCTGGCTGTGCCAGACCCCTTCACCCAAAGACCAATGTGGAAGCTGAGCTAAGGGCTGGGCCTGGGATTTGTGACTGACATGCCCATGGTGGTTCTTGCAGGTGTAATGGCGGCTATCCTTCTGGAGCGTGGGGGTACTGGACTGAGAAAGGCCTGGTGTCTGGCGGGCTCTATGACTCCCACATAGGTAAGCCAGAAGCCATGCAGGCTGTCAATGCTAACCGAGGGAGTTGGACTATGTGGGTGTCACGGTTACAGGGCTAGCTGCACCTCTGACCCCTTCTCTGGTCTTCATGCACACACCCTGAAATCAGTATGAGGCCTTAGGCCGTCTCCTTCCTTGGGGTAGAATCCCACAATCTTCCCGCTCCTAGACAGGGTCCTGGGCTGCCGTCCCCTGTGCGTGACCCCCGCTTACCCCAGCAGCCCTTTCCCTTTGTGACCAATGGTGAGCCCAGTGACCCAAAACAGCCAAATTTTGTTTGTGTAGCTACTGAAACAAGCATAGGAGAGAAGAGGTTTTTAAACCAGAAGGTGTCTGTCTCACCTAGACCTGTTGGGCTTACTCCCACCCCTCCTGACCCCTCGAGGTCTGGGTTCTACTTGGCGCTCCTTCTGCCCTTGGGAGACTGACTTTTAAATGCAGCCAGAGGCTTGCTCTCTCCCTGTCCTGAGCTTGGCCCTGCTGCCAGTTAGAGCTTGGCAGGATGTTGGAGGCGGCTCTAGTGTTGTGTTTTTAAAGCGTCCTGGGAAAGATCTACGTACACCCAGACACCCACTCTTCCTTCCTCTTCGCGTTATCAGACAATCGCGCCGTATGTATGCACATGGTAAGCATCCTTACAACAGCCACAGCTGTTCATAAACGACTGCCGGGCAGCTCCAGATCTCTCTCACTGGGGACCAGCGACTAGTTCGTCTTTTATAGATGACGAATGGCTCTGATGTAAGGAATGTGGGGATGCAAGGTTTGGCTTTAACAGACATTTCTCTTATGGTAGCTCAGGCAAGTCACCATGTGTCATTCTCTTCCCTGTGCACTGGAAGTTTTGTGGTGCATAATTGCCAGGCCCCCATGGTAAACTGGACCTAAATTCCTACAGTCCCTGAATTCTGCAGCAGGCTGGGATCTCTGCAGCAGTGTTAAACATTTGAATTACGAAAGCTAATATGTCCGTTGTCATGCTAATATTTGTGTCAAGTTTGATGATGCTGCAGACGCTCGTACTGACAACACAGTTAAACATTGGGGAGAGGGGATGGAAGCGCTAGTAACTGGGGTGGGGACGCTTGGCCCTAAGGAAGCATGAAGGGGGTTGTTTGAGGATATGGGCCGAGTGCATTTGCTGGCTGTTCATTTCTATCCATCAGCAGTGGAGGTATCGGAGATGTGACTTAGTTTATCATTAGGTTTCAGAGAACTCCCTGAGATGAATGGGTAGGTTATGTATCTGCAGAAGGAGCTGTTTCCAGGCCGACTCTGGAAGATACCACCACATCACTTAGGGATTTGAGCGCGTTGGGGCAAGGGGCTGTGGGGTGGTGGGGTCCATGGGGCCCTGCAGCACTCTGGGAGAGCAGCCTCTGTTCGAAAGAGGCTGGTGCGGGAGAAGCTGTATGACCTCTTCTGTCTAACCCAACAGGCTGCAGACCATATTCCATCCCTCCATGCGAGCACCACGTCAATGGGTCACGCCCCCCGTGCACTGGGGAGCAAGGGGACACCCCCAGGTGTGACAAACACTGTGAAGCAGGCTACTCGCCTTCATATGAGAATGACAAGCACTTCGGTAAGAGGAAGCCACTTGCCCCGGCCTACACTAGACCCGTGCACGTCTCTTGCCTTTAGATTCTGAAAGGCCTAATGGCCTGCCTGCGCCGGCGGTCGACACCATGGCCTTGGCTCATAGCTGTGAGCATTACGTGAACAGGGGTACTCGGGGCCCCTAGCATGGCTCATATCTTAATGGAAAGTGTGTGTCTCACCCACCGGCCTTCCTGCGCGGGGTGGAATGTCCCTCTGGCCACCATGGCACTTGGGTGTCCAGTGTATTTTGAGCTGTTGCTTTTTAATGTGCTGCATTAGAAACGAGGAGAGCCAGCGCCCTGGGGGCCACCAGCTAGTGTCCCCAGTCCAGCGTGAGACCCTCTGGCTGCGGGTGGATGGGTGACTGTGCTTAGAACCACAGTAAAAACATGCCCCTGCTGAGAGAAGAGGCACTTCGTGGGAGCCCTCTATCGTGTCCCTTCACAGGCGGGCCATTCAGAGTGCATGGGCTCTGTGCTCCCGAGCTCTGCCTCTGGTGTCCGCAGGCCCAAGCCCTTGCCGTGCCCTAGCCGTGGTGCTGTGCAGGTGTAGAAACCAGCACGGTGGGCACTCTGGCAGAACTTCCACTGGCTCTAGGGGGGGGGTCTCTGTTCCTGGACTATGCACGTTCCCAAGGAGCTCTTGCCTTGAATCCTCCTTCCCCTTCTGAATTAAAACACAGAAAGGGTTTGTTGCTTGTCAGCTGAGGTTAGAGTCCTTCGTGCCAGAGTGAACCCCATATTGGAAGTTCCCTGAACTCTCCATGGGTTTCCTGTACTGGGGCTTAGCCAGATGGTGAAACTGAGGCACACTCTGCTCTCACTTGTGCTGGGCACTCTAGGTCTTGCAGGAGGCTCTGTCTAGCTGCATCCCTGCAAAAAAGCCAAATATCCAACATCTCATAAGTGTCTGTAAACTGCACTGGCAAATCGGGTGACATGATGCTGCATGATGAGCCTTCTCCTGCTATAGCGGACTGCAGCTTTCACTGATTACGTAGGAAAGTTAAATCTGTAAGATGGAGGAAACTCGTCCCCTGCCGTGAGGGGTAGTGAAGTGTGGCTCAACCAGCTTGACTGACTCTTGTCCTCTTTCTGTTTTGTTTTTGACTGGGAGCCAAGTCAATTAGTGGCTTCTAATTTCACATCCTCCAGTGCTCAGGAGTACACTCCCGCCTCCATGGCAGAGTCCTGCATGGACCTCGGAGCAGACTGGCTCCCAGTGAAGATACTGGAGGCTAACCACTGCAGCTTGCACTGAGTCTGGGTGGGTTGACGTAGGTGCCCACAACTTCTGCTGAGGTGTATCTGCTTCTGCTCCGCAGGAGCTACGTCGTACCACGTCCCTTCCAGTGAGAAGGAGATCATGGCCGAGATCTACAAGAACGGCCCAGTAGAGGGAGCGTTTGCCGTGTACGAGGACTTCCTCATGTACAAGTCAGGTAAGCATGACAACTAGGCTGTGGCGTGTTAGCTGAGCAGATGCTTCACGGACCATGACCGAGGGGGTGGGCATTGCCCTACCACAAGTTACTGGCCAGGAGCCAGGGGGACGCTCTCTGGGTTGGGTTAGAAGGAATGTCAGACTGATCACAAGCAGCCTCTCTCGGCCTTCAAAATCACCGTGCTGGGCAAGCGTAAAGCTTCATACCCAGTAAGGCAGATGCGGTTATGTTTGGGTACATGCCTGACCCCCCTCATTGTAGTTTATAGTGTACTGGGGAAACTCAGACAGAAGTTTAGCCAAATTTTAAAGCATTAATAGAATTGATGTCCTTTCATTAGTTTAAGTCCCCCTAAGTGGAGTCCACGGTTGGAAAACTGGGGCCCTTGACTGGCCGTGGGGGTCTAGTGTCTCCTCGTTTCCTCTCGCCCCCTGCAGGTGTTTACCAGCATGTCTCTGGGGGAGAGGTTGGTGGCCATGCTATCAGAATCCTTGGCTGGGGCGTGGAAAATGAAACGCCCTACTGGCTGGCTGCGAACTCCTGGAACACTGACTGGGGTGACAATGGTAAGCAGCCAGGATGTACTTTGGGGCAGACCAGAATTGTGGATTTGTTTTTCTTTCTACAGGGTTAATCTCCCTATCTTTAAATCCTGATATAACTGGTGCTCTCTTAGGAAGCAGGAGTTGAGAAGACCCTCTCTTGGCTGGGTAGGAATAGCCAGATTCTGTTTGTTCAGCAGGAAACGTACTGACCTAGCCTGGTAGAGCTAAACCCTGCAGTCAGTGAGCTTAGACACCACCGCCCATGAAATGCCCATTGCACATCTGGTTGTATGACTCTCTGTAGGATATGGGTGATGGGGGTTTCTCCAGCAGGGCCCTCCTGATACTGACTGAGCCTGCCTTTGTAGGCTTTTCTACGGCTTTCCTCACCCTGGTACTCAGAGCATCTCCCATCTGCCCTCACAACACCCCTTTGAAACATGGAAGCCTTCCCCTCCACTCTGAGGGGGAACTGAGAGCGAAAGGGACTTGCCCAGGATCAGCTAGGAAGTTACTCTCAGTGCCAGTGGCATTTGGGAACCATGGGAAATCCCCTGGGTTTGGGTTTTGGTGAGCCTTACCTGCCCCATGGCTTCAGACCAGGAAGTGAGATGAGAGGGAAGTAGTTTATCAGTAGCCTTCATGCCCTTAATTGTGTGACACCAGAGAGGAAACAGTGGCAGAAGCAACTCTGCTCGGGAAGGGAAGGTGGTGTGGTGGGATAGTTCACTGGGCAGGGGGGCAGGAGACATGGGTTCAGTTCCTGGCTTAGCCAGATGCCCTGTGTGATCTGGGGCCAAGTCATTCTCTACCCTGTACCTCAGTTCCCTCTGTCAGAGCTCCCTCCAGGGGTGGGGAGGGGATAAATCCATTGGTTGAGGCACTCTATGGCCCTCACCTGTGTGGGGAGCTGACCTGCGAGTATTTACACAGATGTTGTAATTGGGTGTAACAGGGAGTCTCAGCAGAAGTGCAGTAACTAAGCATATATCATCTAACTAGTCTAGAGGGGTGCCTGGGGCTCTACCTGAAGGAACTCGAGGAGTCATGCCCCAGGGAGAGTTTGATGCCAGTCTGGAAAGTAAGAATGCACCAGGTTGTAAGTGACTTTTTTCTCTCCCATGTGGGATTAGTGACTCTCTTTAAAACCTCTCCAGGTTTCTTTAAAATCCTCCGAGGGCAGGACCACTGTGGAATCGAATCCGAGATAGTGGCTGGCATCCCCAAAACAGAACTGTACTGGAAGAGGATCTAACTCCCTGGCTTGGGTGCAGCTGAAGAGATCAAATCACACCTCTGATTCTTATAACCAGGCGCAGGCTGGGCACAGAGCCTGCACTCTTGAGACTATGGTTGAAGCTACGTATTAAAGCCTTTTATCTTGTTTAGTTGTGTGGTGGGGATGAAGGAGGTGGCTTCTGTATTCATGCGCTAGCTGCCTTCTCTGCTGGAGCTCTCCGCTCCCAAGCCAGTTTGTGTGGCATTGGCCCCCCCCAAGCATTCCCTTCTCAAAGGATGGAGCTAGTAGTGACATTGCTAATCTCTCACCACAGTATGGGGGTGACTGAGACACTCTGGCCTTTACCTGCCTAATTCAGTGAACCCTGTCATCCAAGCATGGGTGAAGCAATCACTTCATTTTGGAAATGCAACAGGACAGGCCAAAGTACATGCAGGGTCAGGGAGGCCGGACTGGATGACCTAGGGGGTCTCTTCCATCTCTGACGTGATGCATGCTACTGCAGCAGCAGCCTTGCTGGCTGCTGTCCCCAAGTTTGACTTCTGCACTGCAGTGTGCCCAGAGGCCTAGCTTCTCAGAAGTGGGTATGTGCAAACCCTTGTCTGTACATAGTGGACATTGCACATGCACTTTTGAAAACTCATACCTAGGTTTATTTGCTAACCTTGTTTCCTGAGTGGAGGAGCCTCTTAATGGCACAATACTGGCTCTAGTTGGAGTAGAACAAGGTTCTTTGACAGCTTAAGCTTTTCATAAATATCTTCCTCTGCTGCTGTTTAGTTTTTTTTATTTTTGTGTAAACCACTTGGCTCCTCAACCATTTATTACAGCTCGGGGATCAAGCAGCCTGTTACAGTGGCCCATGGATGCTAAGAACATGTAACTGAACTAAAGCGACTGTGGTGTTCAGATGAAGGCCAGTCTGGGGCTTGCAGATAAAATAAATTGGGCAGGATTGTGTCCTCTCTTCCAGGCAGCTGATTATCTCAGAGGGCAGGTCAGCAGATTGGTTGAAAGCAGACTTTGGGCAGCATGCAGCCTCTGCAATGGGGATTTTCTCCTAGGGTGCTTTAGTGACTGCAGATTTGAATTTAGGCTGGGTAGGGGAATGCACACTACAGGGGCTAGACTTCTAAAGTGTACTAACATAGAAATGGAACTAGGTTAAAGTGCACAGGGGAACCTAGAGCATGCACCAGCAGGGTCTACATAGACCAATCAATGCACATGTTAAAATGCTTTAGAAATCACACCCCCATGGTGCTACTGGTTGGTGTGAGCAAGCTGTAATTCACTTAGCACACATGCAGCTGGAGATGACTGATCTAGCTTTTTTGCACACAACCACCTTCATTAGTTGAGTGTTTTTAAATAGGGAATCCTCTTACTGCAAACATTTTAGCTGAAGATAGGTGGGGAAAAGGAGACATATGTAGGAAGAACCATTTGTGGGAGGTGATGGCACTAACTCAGTTAACTGCTGTCAGTGTAACAAGCTGGAATAGGGTGTTTAAAGCACAGGGCAGGTCTTGCTTACTGGAGAGATGCCTGGCTCCTGCAGTGAGTAACACTGCATCACCTGTGGTGTAGGAGACTTGCATTTTGTTTAAATGGGGACTCTTAACTTCTGTTGTAATCACTTAGCCAATATTAACATGGCTTCAGTGTAGCTGAATGGAACAATTGTGCCAATAAAAGATTTCTCCAAGCTCTTGTAGTGTGTTCTTGGAAATAGTAACAGGCACCAAGGTCTGATGATTTCATCTCTGCAGGTAGGTGATGCCTCTCACAAGGGGGTTCTCCTACCCTGTGGAAGCTGTAAGGTACTTGTGGCCCCTAGTACTATACTGAGCACCTCCCCTGTTCAGTGTTTGTCCTCACAACACACCTCTAGAGTAGGGAGTACCACTCTCCCCCTTTTACAGAGGGAGAGTGGAGGCCCACAGACTAGGGGCTAGCTTTGCCAAGGGGATTTAGACTGCAATACCTAACTCCTGCTTGCCCTGTGGAATTCAGTCTTGAATTAAGCAGCCAGGATTCCCCCACCAGTGCCTAGTCAGAGTTAAGTAAGCCAACTGGATTTATCCCAGCCAGTGTGCTGAGGTGGGGCAGGACCTAACTAGCCTATGGGAAATGAGGCACTAGGCAGCAGGGACTGAGGGAGCTTTGAGCTGCCACCAGCAGGAATTTAGGGTTAGGCACCAGCTGATTGGGTGGTTGAACCCTCACTGTTCAGTTCCCTGCTGCACTACAGGCTCTTGAAGTGAGAGAGACAACCCCAGGCTCCTGTGCTAAGCATTGCCTCATCCTTCCATACCTCAAACACTTCTGGCACTGAGACCTCTCTACATCTTTAAATGCTTGACCTGGGGCAATCAGTGGGGAAGTGATTTATGACAGCTCAGGATTGAGAAAGCAGTCCCTATCAGTGCACAACTTGTTTCACTAGCCCAGCAGCTGCCTCATGGTTTTAACAAGCACAGTGAACAAACAGCCTCAGCCTCAGCTTCTCAATCAAGTTAGCTCAGCAGGATGTTGGAGGCAGCTCCAGTGTTTTTAAAGCATCCTGGCCATAAGACTTCCACATACTTCCTGCTTGAATTAGTCTTTCAGAAAAACATCAACTTGTTGATTTAAAAGTTGCAGCAAGAGAGAATCCATCCCATCCTTAAGTAAGCTGTTTCAATGATTAATTACCCTCACTGTTAAACTCAGACCAGCCTCAAGGCATAATTTTATCTAGCTTCAGCTTCCAGCCATTGCATCTTGGTCTGCTAGACTGAAGAACTCATTGCAGACATTCCCCTTATGCCTACTGATTAAGTCACTGCTTAACATTTTGTAACCTAACTAGCTTAAGATCCCTGAGTCTACCACCATCAGGCCTGTAATTTATTGTGCTGCTTTTGCTTTAAATGTAGAAATGTTCACACAGGAAGACTGATCTGTTATGCAAAGCTTTCCCATGTAGAGTAGCTTCTTCCCACCTGTCAAATAAGATTTCACAACATGTCATTGTTAGCCAGCTGAATAATGGTACCCAAGGACTTCTAGGCAAAGAAATTTATTGTTAAGGGAAGCTGAGACCTGAAGCCCAGACCTCTCTACATAAAGAGCAAAACAATATTTGCATCAACATTTAATTAGGCTAAGTATGTACACAGATAACCAGGGAGTAGAGCTTGCCTTGTAATAGTGCTGTAGTGGTCTTACACCCAACCACAAGACATTTCCCAGCAGAGATCCCAACTCCTAAACATCAAGTGACTAGACTAAGTCACCTTTCCCACCATGGGTGCACATCTACAACACCAGATGCTGCTGCTGTTTAAAAGCAGCCAGAGGGAGCTTGCTTTGGGGAACAGAAGGTTTAACAGGGAGAGAGTTGCTTCCTGTAACAGCACTGATAATAGCTCCTCAGCCCTCTCCTCCAGGGCCATGCTCCACTAGATGTTCATGAAAAGCTGGGGAGTTGCTCACAGCAAGGACAGCACAGTAGTACACAATGTAACAGGGGGGTGAGTTAGAGCAGCAGCAAGCACCTGTCCTCAAACATACTCACCTCTATTCAAAGACACTGCTTTAAAACATGAGCTGTGCTAGCTTAAAGACCAAGGGGGGAAAGAGGGTTAGGAGTATTGCAGACACCCATCCCCTCTGAACAGAAAGTGAACACAGGTAACCCAACGGCTTTTAAGCAGACTTCCTGGTGCCAGCCCTACTACTTCGACTTTTAAAGGCTCTTCCTACGATGACAGCAGGTTTCAGAGCTGGTGGGAGAGTGTTCTTGAGTCCAGAGAGAAGTGTCTTGTTTCCTTCATGAAGGTTGTTCTTCAAGACAGATCTATGAAGACTGCCACCTGCTGAAATCGGCAGGACAAGGCTATGTTCAGAGCTGCTGTCCCTGGAACTCCACCCATGCAGCTGAAAGCAGCCCATAAAAGTCTTAAGCTGAAGCATTTCCATTCTTGTCTCCAGCACAGACATTGAGTTTTACAGGAGCTGGAAGCAATGGACAACTAGCAGATAACAATACTCACACTGTGGACTACTTCATCTGAACAGCCAGCGTCCCGAAGGGCACAGCCAGAAGGTGTCAAACCAGCATTGTGCGTATCTTTATTGCTGACAGTCCCGCAGGGAAGGCAGAGCAGGCTGTACCCCTGCACCCCCAAGAGGCCATGGGTGAAAGGAACACTGCTCCAGCCACAGAAAATAATGGTATGTGATTAGAGAGTCCTGTTTCCAAAGGGAGTTTGAATGCATGAGCAGCAGCTATGCAACCACCCTCCTTCCAGAGCCAATTAGTGACCAGTCCAAAGAGGTACCTGTGCTTCTCTAGGCCATACTGTCAGCCTGGGTGGGGCACAAAGACAGGAGAGAGACCAGGGGAGAAAGACTCCAACATTCCCCTTCTTCTCGCCAGGTCAGGAAGGTTTGCTGACTCAAGACCTGCCTCCTTGGCTCCCCTACAGCTCAGCTGGCAGCTTTTCCGTCTCCCACGCTCACTGCTACAGCTGTTCCCTTACTATTCCCTTACTACAGTGCACCTCCTTAGCCCAGGAAGGGGATCCTCACTGCATGGTTTGATGAAAACCATCCTCAAGGGATGGAACAGGAGCTACCTTTTATATCCCAAGACACCCACTGGATGGCGTGTTACTCACAAGCAGTACAGCTGTATCCTACCAGACTTAGCAGTCATTACCCACCTCTGAGCCCTTCAGCCTGCCCCCACACATCCCGCACCTTAACTTTTGCAGAGAAATAAGCTTTGCATGTACTGCCATCTACTCAGCTTTCGGAAGACAGAGCTGCTTTCAGCCTCTGAGCTCTTTAAACTGTACAAAACAATCTCACCAGAAAGCTACATCCAAGTTATCGCAATAGCTCTAATATTTAAGGCTAGTATCTCTTCACAATTCTTTAGTACAAGGATGGGGAGGCCCAGAACTTATGCACTCATCTCTGTCCTGTAAGATCCTCAGCTATTTAGAGAAACGGTCAGAAAACAGTCAGACGTTGCCCCAGTGAGTTGAAGATTTCATCCATCTGAGGGAATGGTGGCTTCCAAGATAGCTGACTTGCTGGAAACATTCAGTTGCTGAGCAATGAAGGTACTGAGGTAAGAACACACCCAGGGCAGACGAGGGAGAACGCAAAGGCTCACATCATGCAACTTTTTACTGGAGGGAGGTGTCAAAATCACAAGTGACAGAGGCAATTAAAAAATATCCTGGCCAGAATTCAGGTAAAACAGTCTCCCACAAAGAGGAAAAGTGAGACTCAACCAGTCTTACTTGTAACCTGTTCATCCAAACAGTGAAAACAGCCAAATCCAGCTGCTAGCTAGTGGCTGCAACACACAATACTGCAGGCCAACCAACACCTTCCGATTTGCCATTCCATTCACAGCTTTAAGGGTCCACACCAGTCTGGCATCCCGCAGGGCAGCAGATCCAACAGGGAAGAGGCAAGAACCTGTTCCCAACCTTATCCATCCACTGACCTTCGCTCTCCTCACCAACCCTCAGTTCTCGCTGGCTTGTACATACTCCTCTGATGCCTTCGACATCGCACTCAGATACTGCCAGCTCAGCGCTGCCAGAAGCATGGCGCACGAGAGGTATATGGGGGAGTAATGGTTACGGGATACCTCGACGCCATTGGGCAAACTCATTGTCCGGATTGAGACGATGATCTGCTGGGTCTTGTTAGAAGAAGGGTCTGTGCTTGGGACCTTCTGATAGATCTGGAGAGAGAGAAACCCACACAAGGTTAGGGAGTAACCCTGAAAACCACACCCACAATTCCTATGACAATATATGGCTTCTGTGGAGGAGGTGCTAGGCATATTCCAAAACAGAACAACACATTACCAGCAATTCACCCATCTTTTAAACCAACGGGGGATCAGAACCGCACTAACTTCTCTCCAGTCAGGGAAACTGGGAGCTAAGAGGGAATATTTTACCTGAGCACTGTGCTAACTGAACTGAGTTTAGAGGATACACCCCCAGGGGTCAGTCTGTCAGTTCAAGCCACATTAGCCAGAACTTAGTTTAATGTTTATTAATCCTGATGTGATTTTGTTGTAATGGTGATTGTTAGGGCACTTACAGCCTTGTACAGGAGTCTATTACATAAATAGGGCCCTACCAATTTCACATGAAAAACATGTCATGGACTGTGAAATAAACCTCTCCCCATGAAAATCAGATTCCCCAAAATCTGCTAGTCCAGCCAGGCTGGGGAGGGACAGAACTTGTCCTTCCCTTGCATGGCCATTATCAGGGGGAGATCAGACCCACTTCCACAGGCAGCACAGAAGTGAGGGTGGTACACTTCCACCCCCTGCCGCTCCTGCCGGGGACCAGGATGCTCAGGGTCAGTGCTTCCCACCCCCTGCAACTCTTGCTTGGGCTCCAGGCATCTGAGCTCAGGGCTTCTGTCCCCCGCAGCGTGTGCCCAGGCTCCGGGGTTCTGTCATCACAGCTCCACCTGGGGCTTGAGGCACCTGGGCTCAGGGCTTCCATACCCTCGCAGCTCCTGCCCAGGCATCAAGGCATGGAGCTTCAGTCCCCTCGATTCCTGCTGATGCTCGGGGCTTCAGCTACCCCCCCCTCCCCCCACATGGCTCCTGACAGGGTTCGGGGCATCCTTTTTTCAAATGGCCCTGGGCACAGGCCCGTAGGCCTGTGCGTTAATCCACCACTGGCCATGATTAGTGGCTAGGAGCCCCTGGCTGGGGCACTCCCAGGAGCATTGGGGAGATCAGACCCACCTCCACAAGCCTCCTCCAGCTGCAGGAAGCCCAGCGACTGCTGACTTCAGAGCCCAGCTCTGAAAGCAGCACAGAAGTGAGGGTGGCAATCCTGCAACCTCCCTCTTCCGTCTCCCCTTCCCCCCCATCCAAAACAGCTTTGGGACCCCCCACAATCCCTTTTTGGGTCAGGACCCCTGCAGTTACAACACTGAAATTTCAAATGTAAACATCTGAAATCATGAAATTGACCAATTTTAAAACCCTCTGGCTGTGAAACTGACCAAAATGGACCATGAATTTGGTAAGGCCCTATATAGAATCTAAGTAAACAAACATTAAAATGGTTTTTGCTTTGAAACCCTTGCTAGCTGCTCCAAATCCCAAAGACGACAGGACTTAAACATGTTGTCATAAGAGATGTTATTCCCATGGTTAGGTCAGGTTAGGCTACGAGGAATGTGTACAGCCACTAAGAGCTGTCTGACTCAAGGATTTGGAACAGTATTTGCACCTTGCTAGCAAGGTCTATTAGACAGGTAACTGACTGACAGAACACCAAGGTACTCCCTGGCATGGACTGACAATACTGTTCTTCAACAAGAGTCCTATCCACACAATGCAGGGAAAACATGATCGAAAGCTGTCAGCAGCAGCCATAGACACGACCGTAGCTGACCCTGCCTGGGGTGGATGTGACACCACCCTAAGCAGTTTCTTCCAACAATCACGTTTAAACAGAATTCTCAGTTTCAGCCTTCGTATGGAGGACGACAAAGGGTGAAATCTGGGCCCTGGAAGGGAGTTTTGCCCTGGACTGTAACTGAGGCAGGATTCTACCCCAAAGTCCCCAAATGTAAATACTAACAAAGGGATTGTTTAAAGAGATTCCCCAGCAGAGAAGGGGCTATTAAAAAACCCAGCTGATTTTGTCAGGCTTGTACCAGCCCTTCCTACACCCCCATTTCCATCCAGCAGGGGAAAGCCACAGAAAGCTTTATTCCAACCTATTCTCTATTGAGCTGCACAACAAAAGGTAACTCCAGGCACCGGAAAAGGCTGCTTGGCTTGTACAACAGACACTGTGGTTTTTCAGTCTAGATAAGTATGTGAGGACACCAGGGACATGGCATACAGCGATTGTGATCGGTTCATTCATGCGCTGCACAGCCACATCAATGGCTTGGCAAAATTGGGGAGCTAGCCTATTTTTGTAACCCCTCCCTTACCTTTCCTTTCACCATCTTCTGCCTACTCATTGATTCCATATAAAATCTGAAAATTATAAGTGAGGGCAGAGGTTTATACTGGCAGTTAGTCTGTCATCTCAGCTGTGGCTTTCACTTCTGCAACAGCTATAATTATATCCCCTGAAAACAGAAGAGTGGCTTTTATAATAAATTGGGGGAAGTGCTATACTTCTGGAGAATACACTTTGGACTATAAGGATTTACAGCATCAGAGAAGAAGAAAAAAGCCACGTTCCAGACTTTACTACTTCAAGCTTTTTCATGCTGATGTCCTTGTTCCTAGAACATCTTCAACAATTTTAGCTAAAGCAAAATGGCAGTTGCTAAACTGCTGAATCGGGGGATAGAGTGGAAACCCCAGCTTAGCCTTTAATCCTCAGTGTTCTGCTGTTTAAGAGGGAACAGCTACATCTGAATATGGAGTCTTTCAAAGCAAGACACCAAACCTACCTCTTCCACATACTGGTACATTATAGCCTTGACAGCTTGTATGTTTGTGGCATCCATCATTAAAGTGACAGCTTGTCCTTTCCGAATCTTCACCACCCCCCTAAACACCTGTTTGTTATTGTAACAGGCCGCCAGAGTGGCGATGGCCATCACCTGGGGAGAAATGACAAGCAGCATTTATTCTGTACTCACAGGCCCCACTGACGTTAGTGAGAATAGCATGTATATCTGAAAGTAGTCATTCCTCTGGGGAAAGACCCAATCTCTCAAGATGAGGCAACAACTCAAAATGTTTGGCGATCTCCATGTTGAATGTATTTAATATCGGACACAAAAAAAATAGGGGTAGTATTAAATACTGTGTCTGGACCGGAGAAGACATCCAGCCCCAAAGGGGTTAATGTGGGAGGGGGGGAAGGCAATGAAAATATCTGGTTCAAACATCTGGAAACATTAACCTACCTGTGGAATAGCACAGAAGTTGAAGACACTTTGGTTTTTCAGTCTAGATAAGTAGGTGAGAACATCAGGGACATGGTGCAATGCATTTGTGATCAGTTCATTCATACACTGGACGGCCATGTCAATGTGCTCTGGCTTGGTGAGATCCGACAGCTTCTTGGCATACCTGCTCCAAACCTAGGAATGCCGACAGTACATAGGAACACCACTCAGCAGTTAACACTTTTCAGACATTCATGTTCATAAGGGGGCCCATATCGAACTGTCAAATACAAAGATCTTATTTTACTGCACCTAATTCTTGTAATCAGACTGTTACAGTCAGAAGCAAGACCCTTAACACACAGTTCACTCTGACCTACTATTCCATTCAGTCCCATTACAGCAACCCTTTTGATAAGGCACACTGGGAAAGAGAGAGACCAACTGCTAGAAGGAAGTCTTACTCAATGGTGAAGTTTTGGACAGACATGGATCCCATTCTCCTGAGAAGAACTGGACCCAGCTGGTAGCTCTGAAGTTAAGCGTCCCTGCCTCTGATTCAGAACAGCACTTACACACACTTTAAAGCATGAGTAACTGCACTGACCTCAGTGGGACTACTCACGTGCTTACAGTTACATGTGTGTGTAAATGCTTTGCTGGACTGGGGCTGGTGCAGAAGAGTCCCCAGGTTATAAAGATGGTCTCTCAATCTGAGTTGGGCCAACTCTTCTTAGATTACAGGAACCCTGTCCCATCCTGCGAACAGGGCAGGTGCATGGAGCAGAGCAACTGCATCCAAGATTGTCTGGAGAAACCTCTGCTGTCACAGACACTCTGCTGAACAGATTTTATCCATGGGACAGGCATGCTGACAATTGACCTTTCAGCTATACCACTGTAAGATCTCTCTGACAGAAGAGTTTTGCCTAACTCCCTACAGACAGATTTGTGCAACTTCATTGGGGACGGACACACACACACCAGAAACCGACATCTGAAAAAGAACCAAAAAAAAAAAAAAGATAAATTCTGCGAAATGAGTCTCCTAACAAGTAGTCCTGACTAACTCAGTATCAAAGCAGAAACAGTTGCTCCAGAGCTCATCAGAAAGGAATAGGAGTCTGCATCACCACTCTAACACTTCCTAATAAACCGTATCTAGCTGAAGTTGTCATCTGAAAAGTGCTGGTTTCCCTTTACCTCTCTGGGCCAGAATTCTCTTCCCTCCAGCTGGTCCTCCAGATAATCACGAATGATGTTGGTTTTCTGAAGAAAGAGGCCCATGGAATTTGCAAGCTCTGTGTCCTGTCCTACGACAGGGTCTTCTAGCTCTGATGCAGAGAACAGACGGGAAAGGCCAATCCCCACCAGCCCAGCAACATAGTGACAATACTGCAAGGTTTGGAAAGAACAAAATGAGTTGTGAAACGTCTCTCCCCTAGTCCATGTGGCTACATCAAAATTACTCCTGTAGGTTATTTAACGTGCCTGTTTGTGTCTTTAGGGAGACTTTCGCAAGATAGTTCCCATGCAGTTCAACTTGCTGCATATCAAACCCATTTTGATGGATGTGTCAGTGATATTTGGGTTTGGGCTTTGAATACAGAGCGACACTGAGCGAGGGCTCTCTGCCATGTGTCTTCATGCCAGTGCTCAACAGCCAACATCCGCATACCAAAAATATGCTTCTACAGTGTGGATTCTACCACCGGACCATTGCTTCACCCAGGAAAAATGGCAAGTGTGTCATTCACAGCTGTTACTGGCACCAGACTTCCATCACCCAGATGAAAGACCCAAATGAGAGCAGATGCTCATGTGGCCCATTTTATACAGTGCACGTTCTAAGAAAACCACCCAAAACCGGCATCAAGGCTTTATCGTGCGTACTTGCATTTCAATGAATAGCCTGGCAGCTAAAGCAGGGGACAGAGTACTTTGTGTTCTTCTTAGTCAAGGAGTTAAGTGGGCAGGGAGTAAGATGGCCCACCTTAAATTTCTGCACTACAGCTGTACTATGCTTTACCTATCAATAATGCACACAGCCACTGTCATCCACAAGGTCAGTGACAAAAATAGCTAATCAATGCCTTGGGAAATGTACGCAGGGATCTCGTTGCTCACATAAATCTTTACATTCACATGGAAGCAGGCTGCCCACCAAACAGCAAGACTCAGAGTTAACACTTTGTCCTTTACTCATCTTGGGTACCTATGTATGGCCAGGATGAGCATTACAATAAGAAATTGTAATCAATCATCATCATCATGATGAAGCAGCAAATGAAGAATGCCAGACCTCCAGCAGGGGTTGTGCGCATTGCCCTGAGCATAGAATCATAGGACTGAAAGGGACCTTGAGAGGTCATCTAGTCCAGTCCCCTGCCCTCATGGCAGGACTAAGTATTATCTTGACGATTCCTGACAGGTGTTTGTCTAACCTGCTCTTAAAAATCTCCAATGATGGGAGATTCCACAACGTCCCTTGGCAACTTATGCCAGTGCTTAACCACCCTGACAGTTAGGAAGTATTTCCTAATGTCCAATCTAAATCTCCCTTGCTGCAATTTAAGCCCATTGCTTCTTGTCCTAACCTCAGAGGTTAAGAACAACAATTTTTCTCCCTTCTCCTTGTAACAACCTTTTACGTACTGGAGAGGATGCGCTCTCAATGCTCGCTTACCTTATCCCACTCATGCTGGGTGTCAACCTTCTTTTCCAAGAACTCTGCCATTCCGGCTCCCATCTTGTGACAAATATCTGCAATCACATCTCGATACACCTCTGCCAGGTTTCTGAACTCCAAGGAGATCTACAGCAGAAACCACAAAGAAATATACATTGTGCTGAAAGTGGCATTTGTCAACAGACTGGGGAGGGGAGGAGGGGAAGAAAAGAAGAGGGGGAAAGGTTATAGGCTACTGGGGTCTAATCCTGCTCCCACTGAAGGGGCTGGCAAAATCCCCACTGGCTTGAATGGGAGCAGATTCAAGCCACTCAGCAGTAAACACAAATTCAGCATGTGCAGAAACAAAAATTCCTATGATCTCTGGCCACAGCTCAAATGCAGTATGTAATTTCTTGAAGGCGATACGGCCTTGGACAGCATCACTTGTGAGCTGGGGCATGAAGGAATTACAAAACAAACTCTGTACACCAAGTGTAACTTTATGAAAGAGTTCCACCAAGTGAACAGCTGCTAGAATGATTTCCAGGGTTTTATTGCAGCTCTGTTCTCTATGGGCTCCCCAAGGCCCAGCTCTCCCAGACTTCAGCATGTGCAATATTTCACAGTTTAAAGGCCAGAAGGGACCATTATGATCCTCTAAGCCAGTGTCCTGTACAACACAGGCCAGACAATTCCAACCAGCGTTTCCTGCTGCCAGCGCAACCATTACTGGTTGAACTAGGACACCTGTTTTAGAGCCCAGTCTTGATTTAAAGGCTCCAAATGACGGAGAATCACTATCACTGGGCAATCTATCCTCACCGTTAATAATGTGCATCTTATTTCCAGTTTGAACTTTGGTGACATCCACTTCCAGCCATTTCATTTATTTCTTCCTTTGCTACATTAAAGAGTACTCCAGCATCAGACCTCTCCTCCCTGTGTGGGTAATTATAGGCAGCCTCGTAGCATTCTCTTTAAGATAAATAAATTGAGAGATTAAAGGAGCTCAGAGGAACTCAACTGTGGACAGAAAGAACACTGGGCTGGGACAGAGGAAACCTGGACTCTATTCCCAACTCTGCCACTGGCCTGTTGGATGACCTCAGCAAGTCACTTCCTTCCATGCCTCAGTTTCCCAGTCTGTAAAATGGGGATGATGATTCCGATCTCCTTTGTAAAGTGTTGTGAGATATACTGATGAACAGTGCCATGTAACTGTCTGAGACTGTTATTCAGCAGTTTCTGAGACCTTCTATATCAAAGTTGTATTGTAATATAAGTTGAACAGGAGTGGATGTGTTAGAAGAGCAGGCCAGTTACATGAATGCAGCAAACAAAGATACTTCATGGAACAATGTAGCCCCCGTAAATACCACTTACGAGGACAGATCTTCTAAATTAACAAGTTGCTTGTATCCCAAGTGTACATATTAAACTCTTTTGTACTGTAGTAACATTTCTGAACACTGGAGCAATTCTCCGACAAGCAGCTGTTTGCTGTGAATGGCCAGAAGGCATCCATGCTATCACTGGACTTCCCAAATATTCTTTTGGGCTGGGATTATCAGAGGGGAGTTAGGTGCTCAAATCACACTGAAATTCAATGGGATTTGGGCACTGAACTACTCAAAGGCTCATATGAAAATCTGAGCCTTAATATCAAGTTACCATAAAATCAGCAACAACTCACTCCACCTAAAAACATCACCTCCCTCACACTCTGATTTTAATGGAAGTAGAATCCAACCTTCAATTAAAATTCAAAATATTTACAAATCCAATCAGTTACCTAAATTTCTTCAGAAACTGTACTGCTCCTGTTCTTGTGAGAATTATTATGCCACAGGTTAAGTGCACTCCTTGGAACGCTAACCTAAAATCTACTAGAGAACAGCCCCATTCAGCGAGTGAATCCCAGCCTGGTCCCCAGCACTGGTTGCTCGCCAAATCCCAGCAGGGCTCTCAGCTGGAGCACTGAAATAATGCTGTATCTAGAGGGCAACTACTCCAGTGTGAAGCATGCATCTTGTTCCCATGCACATTCCCAGCTGGTGTTTGGGTAGCAGAGCAGGGAGAAGAGGAATTTTACACCAACAGAAATAAGAAGAGGGAGGGTGGAGTTAATAGACACCAATAAAATATAAAAGTTAGTTTATTAAATTACATTTCAGTTATGCACAAAGCTTTTTGTTAAATTACTGGTAAATAGCTCAGGAACCTAGAGCTACAGCTCTATTTATACAGCCCTTTCACCACCTGGCATCTGAATGCCTCAGCAGCATACAGCGCAATGGAAGTGTAAATGTGTGCTCTTGCAAATCAGTTTAAAGTTGTGATTACTTTCATATTAAGAGATCTTGGGTGAAAATTTCAAAAGCACCAAAGTGACTTGGCATCTAAATGATCTACTCTTTGTCTGGTTTTTGCATTTCTTGACTTTGCAGTTTTTATGAGGCTTAGTGTTGAATACAACACAGCTTTTTGCATTTCATTCCCTAGGTTTGGTTTTATTATGACGCTGGTCAGGCACATCATCAGAATTATAAACTCGTCCTTAAAAAGAAAAAGCAAGCGGTAGAAGCTGACAATGGTATATTAAACTATGGAGAATATAAACAAAGTTTGTAAGAGTTGCTGCCCTGTTCCTTTACTTTTAATGTATTCTGCATGATGCTCACTCAAAAAAAATTTCAGCTACTGTTTCTGCAAAAGATCTAAGTGTTTACTAGTTATACAGTAGAGCTTAATCCTGAGTGTCTCTGGATTAAGTTTAGAAGTGTGTGCAACAAGAGTGATGTAGTGGTGGGAGTCTGCTATAGACCACCGGACCAGGGGGATGAGGTAGATGAGGCTTTCTTCCGGCAGCTCACGGAAGCTACTGGATCGCATGCCCTGATTCTCATGGGTGACTTTAATTTTCCTGATATCTGCTGGGAGAGCAATACAGCGGTGCATAGACAATCCAGGAAGTTTTTGGAAAGCATAGGGGACAATTTCCTGGCGCAAGTGCTAGAGGAGCCAACTAGGGGGGGCGCTTTTCTTGACCCGCTGCTCACAAACCGGGTAGAATTAGTGGGGGAAGCAAAAGTGGATGGGAATCTGGGAGGCAGTGACCATGAGTTGGTTGAGTTCAGGATCCTGACACAGGGAAGAAAGGTAAGCAGCACGATACGGACCCTGGACTTCAGGAAAGCAGACTTCGACTCCCTCAGAGAACGGATGGCCAGGATCCCCTGGGGGACTAACTTGAAGGGGAAAGGAGTCCAGGAGAGCTGGCTGTATTTCAAGGAATCCCTGTTGAGGTTACAGGGACAAACCATCCCAATGAGTCGAAAGAATAGTAAATATGGCAGGCGACCAGCTTGGCTTAATGGTGAAATCTTAGCGGATCTTAAGCATAAAAAAGAAGCTTACAAGAAGTGGAAGGTTGGACATATGACCAGGGAAGAGTATAAAAATATTGCTCGGGCATGTAGGAATGTTATCAGGAGGGCCAAATCGCACCTGGAGCTGCAGCTAGCCAGAGATGTCAAGAGTAACAAGAAGGGTTTCTTCAGGTATGTTGGCAACAAGAAGAAAGCCAAGGAATGTGTGGGCCCCTTACTGAATGAGGGAGGCAAACTAGTGACAGAGGATGTGGAAAAAGCTAATGTACTCAATGCTTTTTTTGCCTCTGTTTTCACTAACAAGGTCAGCTCCCAGACTGCTACGCTGGGCATCACAAAATGGGGAAGAGATGGACAGCCCTCTGTGGAGATAGAGGTGGTTAGGGACTATTTAGAAAAGCTGGACATGCACAAGTCCATGGGGCCGGACGAGTTGCATCCGAGAGTGCTGAAGGAACTGGCGGCTGTGATTGCAGAGCCATTGGCCATTATCTTTGAAAACTCGTGGCGAACCGGGGAAGTCCCGGATGACTGGAAAAAGGCTAATGTAGTGCCAATCTTTAAAAAAGGGAAGAAGGAGGATCCTGGGAACTACAGGCCAGTCAGCCTCACTTCAGTCCCTGGAAAAATCATGGAGCAGGTCCTCAAAGAATCAATCCTGAAGCACTTGCATGAGAGGAAAGTGATCAGGAACAGCCAGCATGGATTCACCAAGGGAAGGTCATGCCTGACTAATCTAATCGCCTTCTATGATGAGATTACTGGTTCTGTGGATGAAGGGAAAGCAGTGGATGTATTGTTTCTTGACTTTAGCAAAGCTTTTGACACGGTCTCCCACAGTATTCTTGTCAGCAAGTTAAGGAAGTATGGGCTGGATGAATGCACTACAAGGTGGGTAGAAAGCTGGCTAGATTGTCGGGCTCAACGGGTAGTTATCAATGGCTCCATGTCTAGTTGGCAGCCGGTATCAAGTGGAGTGCCCCAAGGGTCGGTCCTGGGGCCGGTTTTGTTCAATATCTTCATAAATGATCTGGAGGATGGTGTGGATTGCACTCTCAGCAAATTTGCGGATGATACTAAACTGGGAGGAGTGGTAGATACGCTGGAGGGGAGGGATAGGATACAGAAGGACCTAGACAAATTGGAGGATTGGGCCAAAAGAAATCTGATGAGGTTCAATAAGGATAAGTGCAGGGTCCTGCACTTAGGACGGAAGAACCCAATGCACAGCTACAGACTAGGGACCGAATGGCTAGGCAGCAGTTCTGCGGAAAAGGACCTAGGGGTGACAGTGGACGAGAAGCTGGATATGAGTCAGCAGTGTGCCCTGGTTGCCAAGAAGGCCAATGGCATTTTGGGATGTATAAGTAGGGGCATAGCGAGCAGATCGAGGGACGTGATCGTTCCCCTCTATTCGACATTGGTGAGGCCTCATCTGGAGTACTGTGTCCAGTTTTGGGCCCCACACTTCAAGAAGGATGTGGATAAATTGGAGAGAGTCCAGCGAAGGGCAACAAAAATGATTAGGGGTCTGGAACACATGAGTTATGAGGAGAGGCTGAGGGAGCTGGGATTGTTTAGCCTGCAGAAGAGAAGAATGAGGGGGGATTTGATAGCTGCTTTCAACTACCTGAAAGGGGGTTCCAAAGAGGATGGCTCTAGACTGTTCTCAATGGTAGCAGATGACAGAACGAGGAGTAATGGTCTCAAGTTGCAGTGGGGGAGGTTTAGATTGGATATTAGGAAAAACTTTTTCACTAAGAGGGTGGTGAAACACTGGAATGCGTTACCTAGGGAGGTGGTAGAATCTCCTTCCTTAGAGGTTTTTAAGGTCAGGCTTGACAAAGCCCTGGCTGGGATGATTTAACTGGGAATTGGTCCTGCTTCGAGCAGGGGGTTGGACTAGATGACCTTCTGGGGTCCCTTCCAACCCTTATATTCTATGATTCTATGATTCTATAATTCTTGCTGTCAGCCATAAATAGTAACATAGTGAAACATTCTGGGGCTAACGTTTTCCCCTCTGTGCTTACACATTTTAGACTGAAATGATTAGTAGGTTCAACTGCTGGCTCAGCAAGGATTGGGGCGCTCATCAATTCTGAGGCTTGTGGGGGGAGCACTATGATCATCTCATCTGACCTCCCGTGTAGCACAGGCCCAAGGATTTCACTCAGGAATTCCACATCAAGCCCAGTAACTCTTGGTTGAACAAGATCACAAGACATCCTATCTCGATGTACAGACTTCAAGTAACAGAGACCACCACAGAGTAACAGAGTCCACGGGTTAATTTGTTCCAAAGGTTAATTCCCCCCACTGTTAGAAGTGTGCATCTTATTTCCGGTCTACATTTGTCTAGCTTTCCCTTTTAGTCATTGGTTCTTGTTATGCCTTTGTTTGCTAGATTGCCCTCCACAGTATCAGGTATCTTCTCTCTACAGGTACTTACTGACTGTGATCAAGTCACCTCCCAACCTTCTCTTTGATAACGAGGTCATTCTATTTAGCTTAAGCCCCTTGTAAGAAAGGAACAGATTCTCCAAAGCCATCACCCACATTACTCCCTCCATTAACTGAGCATCTTGCTCTCTGACCTCCTGCCATCATCCCCCTTTCCTCCAGTGGGTAGGACCTATCAATCCCAGGACACACCTGAACACTTCTGACATGGAAAACAAGAGTTTGCAAGTCTGCCATTCCGCTCTGTGAAGCTGACCTGCTTTTTCAAAACCCGAGGGAACATATAATATTTAGAGCCAAGTTTTCCGAGAGTGGTGCCTCATTTGCATACATGCAAAGTTTATCAACATTCAGTGTTCCCAATTGTGCATGCAATCTCATACGCAAGTGATTAGCCCTCTGAACACCTAGTAGGGCACAGAACTGCAGTGAAACATACACAAATGCAGGTGAGTGAATGCGTAAGATCTTAGGCCTCTGTTCTTTAAAATGCAGCCCTCAATGTCAAAACTGAGAAGTGCCTGAAATTCTGGGACAGTTTAGATTACAAATGAGTTGGTTTTCCACATCCCTTTCTCATCTATTGAGCAATACAGACTAACAGCAAACCCAGTGACACGTCAACAGCCACCACCAATGTACAACCAGAGTTAAGAACCATCAAACCAGGTGTTTTGGCATAGATGGCAAAAGCCATTTATATCAGTACTGATCAGGAGAGCATCACAGCGTATCATACACAATGCTAATACTGTTCATGAAATATCCTACTTTATAGGGACAGTTTTCCATGTTTTGAGCTCTGCCAGTAAGACCAGTAATGGAAATTCTATTATGAGTTCCACATCCGCTGTTACTGCTAATGATAAAAAATTTGAGACTGGGATAGTAAACCTTTTGCTTTGAGACTTGAATCAATCTCTAGCTGTTAAAGATCATGTTGGGTTGCCTCCTGGGCACAGATTATCCCACATCTGCTTAATGCAACGTTCCCGCACATTCCTCTGAAACAGATTCATAGATTATAATGCCAAAAGGGACCACTGTCATCATCTAGTCTGGCCTGCATAACACTGGCCATTGGACTTCCCTGAACAGCTTCCTGTTTGAACCAGAGCAGATCTTTTAGAAAAACATCAAACCTAGATTTAAGAACTGCCAGTGATGGAGAATCCACCACTACCTTTGGTTAAATTGGTTCCAATTAACCTCACTATTAAAAATGTACACCTTATTTCTAGTCTGACTTTGTCTAGCGTTGACTTCCAGCCATTGGATCTTGTTATACCGCTGCCTGTTAGGTTGACAAGCCCATTAACAAAGTTTTATTCCCCAAGCAGGTACTTATAGGCTGTAATCAAATTACTCTTTTGCTTTCTCTCTGTTAAGATGGATATAGATTGAGCTTCTTGAGTCTATTACTATAAGGTATGTTTTCTAGTCCTTTAATCATTATCATGGCTCTTCTCTGCACCCTCTCCAATTTAGCAACATCCTTCTTGAATTGTAGGCACCAGAACTGGACACAGTATATCAGGAGTGGTCGCACCAGTGCCAAATACAGCATCTGGTACTGGCCACTGTTGAAGTCAGGTTACCAGGTGGACTTTGGGTCTGATCCAGTCTAACAATTCTATGTATCAAGATGCAAAGAGGTTTAAAGTGGATACCTATATTATCAGCACATTATACTTCATAGATTGAAACAAGAAATCTAATGGCTCACCGTTGTGAAGTCCTCAAGCACCTGCTTGTCCTTCTCCTTGCTCTCCATGTATCTCCAGTCCGGCTGATACAGATAGGAGTGGAAGTCATGCAACATTGGGACCTTGGTTTCTAAGCTGATGGTCATATCATCTTCTACTGTGTCCAGAGCTCGGAGAACCAGATAGAATATGCACACAGCATGACTATGGAGGGAAGGAAGGAAGGATTTCCTATCAAGCAGGACTCCTTATGACACAGGCGAGTAGTTAAAAATAATCATGTGGCTTTTGTGAGAGACATTTGAAAATTAAACAAGGTCTTTCCAATTCTGCACCCTGGAAAGTATTTCTAGTTCTGCATACAAATCAGAGATGGGCTCAAGCCATAAAATTCACGTCAATATTTCAAATACCCCCAGCATTTGGGCATGTCAGAACCAGGGCTCTGATTCAGGCCCAAATCTACCAGAAGGACATTTACAACTAAAAAAACCATGAGGCAAAATGTAATTTCATACCATAATCTGTCTTTGTAGTAGCTATCCTAGTACCAGTGGTCATCATTAAAAAGTGGATACCTTTTTAATCAATTTAGTGGCAACCACTGAAGATACAATTCAAACATATTTAGACACTACATGTGCCTAGACGGAGAATCAAGAAAGGACCCGCTACAGATGCTGGAAATTCCTTGGCCCCCCGATATGCCTGAGCTAGGCATTCAGATGCTAGAAATGAACGACAGTCCAGTATCTAGAGTGCCAGCCTGGACCATGGGAGACCTGGGTTCAATTCTCTGATCTGCCACAGGCTTCCTGTGTGACCTTGGGCCTGTTACTTAGGGAGCTGAAGCACAGAGAGACTACTAAATGGGGATGACAGCACTGTCCTACCTCACACAGGTGTTTTAAGGATAACTACGCTGAAGGTCGTGAGCTGCTCAGATACAACAGTAAGGGAGGCCATGTAAGTATCTTTGATACCCACACATCATGTGAGTATTTTCATGTGACTGAGGCTGATCATTCCACTGCAAATCTATCGTTCGCCTCAGCACGAATCACAAAGGAAAGTGCCTTGAATCTTTACACTGCGGGTTTTATGTGCTTACAAGTGGAATCTTAGAGCTATCAGGCAGACAACTAAGTGACTTGCAATGTGCAACCGTTTCTTTAGACACCAGAGTAGTTCCTCTTTCAAACCAAGTTGTTGTTGTTTTGGGGGTGGGGAGAGGGCCTTTTTCTTTTTGCTGGGGTGGTGGAAATGAAAAGCAGAGCTGTCATGAAACTATTCATGTTAATAATACAGTAACAGACTAATGTAATACTGATCCAAAGTGCCAAGAGCAGCACAATCCATTGCTGTACTGAGAGATCCAAATTTGCAACAAGTCTTGGGAGGGATTGCCAGAATAGTGGTAAAAGTTACTAAAACCCAGCAGCCACTAGGACCCAGGGGAAATAAGACTTTGTGAGGGGAAGGATAAACTCTTTTCTCTGTTCCCTTCTCTTCCAGCTGTCCCTCTGCTGCAGCAGCTTCTCTTTCCTCCCACTGTGTAGTAACCAAGTATTAGGATCAAAGCAAGAAATCATGGATGATCTGGGGGGCTCAAGCAGAAAAAGTCTGAAAAGACTGGAATAGTAGACTGATCCTGGAGCCAGGATCTATGCATTCAAGGGGCCATATTCCCAGTGTGTTTTTAAGCACTGGAATCTATGAGAGTTCTGCGAAAAATGGATGATTCAATACAGCTCCTGAATTTGAATCCTGTCTCTGCTCTGGCTTGCTGTGTAGTTTTGCTCAAGAAATCATCTCTCTGCTATGCTCAAAACTCATAAATCTTTGTGCCTTCAGAGGAAGTTTTGGGAGCGAGGAATGCAGGTTCCAGCCCTAGGATTATAAAAAATCCATATCTGTAAAGTTAGGATAATAACTACTTCAAAAGAGTTATTGCAAAGGCAAATTAGGCAGTGTGCGTCTAACACTTTGGCAATGTTTAAATGCTAATAAATACAAAACAGCATAGATGAGCTAGGACAACAATGAGCAATGAAAGATTATATGGTAACGGGAAAGTGAGTGGATCATTTAGCTGTTCACTACTACACTTAACCTTGGGTTTGTTTTATTAAAGGAGAATTATTTTTTTTTTTGTAAATAAATTATAATTAAGGCTACGTTTTAGTCATGGGTATTTTTAGTAAAAGTCACGGGCAGGTCACGGGCAGTAAACAACAATTCATGGCCCATGACCTGTCCATAACTTTTACTATATACCCCTGACTAAAACTTGGGTGCTCTGAGGCAGCCCGGGGTGCTGAAGGGGGTGCCGCAAGTGCTCTGACAGGGGAGGGGGAAAGGGGGCAGCACGTGGCCTGAGACACCGCTGGTGCTGGGGGAGCTGGCAGGCTCCCTACCCGGCTCTGTGTGGTTCCCAGAAGCAGCCAGCATGTCCCTGAGGCCCCTAGGTGGAGGTGTGACCAGATGGGCTCCATGCGCTGCCCCCACCCCAAGCCCCCACTCCACAGCTCCCATTGGCTGGGAACCATGGCCAATGGGAGCTGTGGGGGCGATGCCTATAGGTGAAGGGAGCGCACAGAGCCCCCTAGCCACGCTTCTGCCTAGGAAGGGACATGTCACTGCTTCCAGAGAGCCCCCCTCCCCAAAGTAAGCACCGCCCAGAGCCCTCGCCTCCTCCCACACCCAAACTCGTGCTGCTGCTGGGGTGGGAGGAGCGCTGTGGCTCAAGGCTGCCCCAGCAGCAGTCAGTGCGGTCTGGCCCAGGGGCTGCCCGAGCTGCTCAGGAAGCTGCTGGGCCAGCCACACTGGCCACTGCAGAAGTCACGGAGGTCCCAGAAAGTCACAGAACCCATGAATCTATGCCACCTCTGTAAAACAGGAGCAATACATCCTTGCCTCACAGGGGCACTGTAGTGTGCTTAGTTAGTGATTACAGGGATGAGGGACAACACAGACATACCAAGGCAGAACCTGGGATGAAAATTACTGAACACAATGGATACGTTTTACTAGTGAACTTTGTAGGGGATCCAATTAAATAAATGCTACATATTAAAATACATGGACGCCTGTGTAAACATAAGCCCTGTCTGTATCCATCTGTTGCTTCTTGTCCTACACTTAGACTGTAAACTCTTTGGGGCAGGGACAATCTTTTTCTTCCATGTTTGTACAGCACCTAGAACATGGGGTCATGGTCCATGACTAGGGTTCCTGGGTGATATGGTAATACAAATAATAACTAATCTGCACTCAAGATCATAGACAAGGCCTGTTAACATAAACATATCTTGTGTCACCAACAACACCTGCAGTATCTCTTACATAGGATGTTCTATTGATATTTGTAAAGTGCTCCACGATGATTATGTGAAAGGCACTAGAGAAATGCAGGGGATTTTTACACTTAATTAGTATGTTTTCAAACAGCTCTGGTGAGCTATTTGCATGGAAGGTGCTGAATACGAATGCATGACTGAGAGGCAGACCCCAACCCACCTCGCACTCTGAAGAAGTTCCGATAAGAATCGGACTCCACAGCCAGGCCTCATCCCCAATGATCATATCAAAATCCAGAGCCTGAATCACGACGGGTAACAAGCGCTGAGGTATAGATCTCAGACAACCCCCTGCTACCAGCAGACTGTGAGAACAAGCACGTACCTTGCCCATAGCCAGTAACACATGGGCGGTCTACGGGCTGATGTTTAACCCTCTCCGGGCCACAGCAGCCAGGGGATCGTGCTGGGCTCCTGCTCCGTGGATAACCCTCTGCCGGCCAGGGAGCTAGCGGCTCATGCAGTAGGGCTGCATGGACACGAGTTCGGGCCCGGCCAGCACATTGCACCAGGGATCTGCTCCCCTGTGCAAGGCTGGCTCCGGCACGAGGTCGCCCCGCTGACCCTCTCCTAGCCCGGCCAGTCTGTGGCGGGCTCCCGCTGCAGGGACAGGGGTAATTAGCCCCTGCGAGCCCACAGCCCCCCCGGCGGGCACTCACCGCAGCTCCCCGTCCAGGGCCTGGATGACGGCGGCGAAGCTCCGGCTGGTCTGGTTCAGGTACCGGTAGCAGGTCTTGAGGCCGTCGCTGAGCACGTCCTGCGGGCAGAGCAGAGGGGACACGGGCTGCTGGAAGCGGGGCGAGGCCGGGCAGGCCCCCGGCGGGGAGCCCTGGTGCAGGAGCCGGCTGCCCCCGCGGCGCCGGCCCCCCGGCCGGGACAGCGGCGAGGACGAGCAGCGCTGGCCGCCGCCGCCGGGGCAGCGCGGGGGAGACAGCGCCAGGGTCCGCTTGAAGAGGGCCACGGCCTTGGTGCTGGCGGCCATGGGGCCGGGCCGCTGCCCAGCCGGAGCCCGCGGCCGCGACGGGGCCAAGCAGAACCAGGAGCGCGGGACTCGCTAGGCCACGCAGGCGGCGGCCGACACACCCACGGCCGGCCCGGGAGCCCCGCCCCGCCCCGCCCCGCGCCCCCGGCGCCGCCCCGCCCCCGCCCCCGCCCGGGTGGGGGGGAACCGCCCCGTTAACCCCGCGCGGCCCGGAGAGACCGAGACCCTCCCCCTCCCCCCACCCCCCGTTAACCCCGCGCGGCCCGGAGAGACCGAGACCCCCCCCCGCCCCGAGCGCCCTGCAGAGACCCAGCCACCCCCGTGCTCCGGGCCTCGGAGAGCCCCTCCGGCCCGCCCTAGCGCACCTCTTCCGTATTCACCGGGAGAGAGCCGCCCTCTGCCCCTTCCTCGCCTCGGCTGGGAGCCGCCCTCCTTCTCGTTAACCCTGCGTGCCCTGGAGAGCCCCGGCCCCCCCGACACTGGGGAGAACTCCCCCTAAGAGACAAGGGCTCAGGCACGAACAACCAAACTGCTCTGTGGCAGGTTTCAGAGTAGCAGCCGTGTTAGTCTGTACCCTAAAAAGAACAGGAGGACGTGTGGCACCTTAGAGACTAACCAATTTATTAAGAGCATAAGCTTTCCTGAGCTACAGCTGCTCTAGGTACTCGCCGACACCCCCACCACCCTTAGCATTTAAAGAAAAACCGGTTTCCAGCGGCTCCTCTGTTAATCCTATAGACTAGCTCCTCCCATGTCCCTTCATAGTCTCCTGCCACCTCAACACCGCTGTTAAATGCAATAGCACCTGCTCTGTGCTCTACTGCGAGTAAAGGCTTCATGAAATAGAAGCATAAATAGCTAACAAAGGAATGCAGTCACCTTGAAATCTAGCTGATTTTTTTGTTTAAGTTAAAGTTAATTTCAAGTACTAGACTTCCCTGGGGTCTGCTCATTTTTAGTTTCACAATCACATTTTCATTCCTTTCCCCACATTTTCCAGTACCCTAATCTTACGTGGAAAGCCACCCACTAAGGGGAAATGCTGAAACTGACTACACATAAATGTTGTCCTAGGCAAAGAGTAAAACTAAGAGGAGGGAACAAAAAACAGAATAATCGTTTTCCTCCTTAATCTGTTACTGTAATCTTTATCATTTATAACAAAAGTGGGTAAAATTACTGAGATTGCAAGCAGGGACCAGTGTTTTGTCTTGTGTCTGTACACTGCCTAGCACAATGGGGCCCTGGTTCATGACTGGGGAATCCTAGCTGCTATGGCAATACAAATAGTTAATAGTGAAATATTTTCAGACCGATTCATGATGTTTTAGGATAATGGTGCCAGTTTAATATATTTTACTTAACCAGTAATGAATTTTACAATACAGAATCTTTCTGAGCAAATGTAGGCCTTTATATACTGAATTCTCTGTGTCCCCACATAATTTAGACAGGCCATTCACTGTCTCATCTCAGCATTATCTCCCCTAGATTTAACTGGATGAAGACTTGAGGCTTGTTTGGAAAGAGCGGGAACATTTTTAAAGATATTTTTCCCAAGGTGAAGGACTCACCTCCAATTAATTTCTCATAGGAAGTGGTATACATGTGAAGATAATTGCTTAATTAAAATTAGCACTTATGGTCTTACCACCCTTCTGAAGAGTAACTGCTACCAGTCACCAGTTTGGGAACACCAAATAAGGTCTAGATCCTGCTAGCTGATCAGCATAGGTGGAACCCCACTTAAGTCAGCACAGCTGGCCACAGGCACAGAGATCTACCTGCAGCCAGCCCCATTGACCCACACTGATCACACCCACACCAGTGAGTTTGACATTTCCACAATCAATGTCTTAAGCTTAACTGGTTCTGCAAGTCACTCTGCCTAGGCAGATGCCTGCATCCATACAGGGCGACAGGCCGTATCAGGATCTTAAGTAAAACTAGTTTCAAGAATAACTATGAGATTAATTCAGCATTGAATTCTGTATTCTTTAGGATCAGGGTTCAGTTCTGGTCAGTAGTAACCAAGGACCTAATCCTGTTCCTACTGAAGTCAATGGAGTTTTGCCACTGAATTTTACAGGCGCAGGATTGGACTTCAGTGGCTGTTACCCTCTGACAGTTATTCATGGCCTATGTGAAAGTACTAACTGAAAGAGGAATTGATGAACCTCATGTCCATCCACCCATTTTCTTTCATTGATCCTGAGTCCTACACTCTGACCTTAGTGAAGACTTTGTGCCACAGGCTGAAATTCAGTTCAGAGCCTTGTCTTGGCCAACAGTCGGGTGTCAAGATCCATTCCATTTAGTTGATAATATTCTATAGACTTTTACTGGCCAAGACACATCATCAAGCAACCAGGGAAATCAAAAAGGAAACAGGACCAAGCTTTCAGAATAAGGAAGGGGGCATACTATAAAAACCCACAGGGTTTTGGCCAGAAAGGGAGTTAATTATGAAACAGTGCCTGATTCTCGCTATTTGACTGACATCCTAAGCCGCCCCCCCCCCCCTGCAAAAAGAGTAGGTGGCTAGGGACATCAATGAGGCTCTGCACATGGGCGCGTTTGTGCGTGCCAGAGGCGGCACAATTCTGATTTTTCCAAAATGCGCTGCAGAAGACCAGTGCTGGAGACAAATGCACAGAACAGGCTGCTTTCCAGGGGACACGACTGATCTTTCAATTAATCCCGATTTGTGGTTAACCAGAGGTCAGATAATCACGGCGCAGGATTGGGTTTTAAACGTTGGGGTTACAGCCCCAGGCGACCCATGAGCCCTGTGGGCAGCACCCTGTACCCACAGAGGGCCCCCCCCCCTTGATTCAGCGGGGCAGGGCGCTCCGCTTGCAGGGGGGCGATTATAGGATCGAGGCCCAGGTGGGTTATTAGGTGGCCCGGCAGGGGGCTGGGAAGTGAGTGGGCCACGTCCCACGGAGCCCGTACGACACGGAGAGAGGCTGGGGAGAGGCGCTGGCTGGGCGGGACTCGGGCCAGCAGAGAGACGAGACGCCCCCCCCGGGCTGGCACCCCCGCCCCGCCCCCCGCTCACCTGGTCCAGCGGGGGCATCACCGCCGCGCCGCCGCCCATCTTAAAGCGCAGCAGGTTGTAGAGCTCCCGGGGGCGGCCCAGCCACTTCCCCACCCGCTCCATGGCTGTAGAGCTCACCGGGGCTGGGCGTCCTCGCGCACCGGAAAGCGCCCGCCCGCTCTGCCCAGCAACCGGCCCCTCCGCAGCTGCCCGGCCGCAGCATCTTCCCTTGCGCCGCGCGGAGAGAGGCGGCCCCGCCCCCGCCCGCTGACGCCGGCCAATCCGCGTGCGGCGCTCGTGCCTCCGCGGCTGGACGGGGCGCTCATTGGTCGCCCCTTTCTCGCACCAGAAGGACGCTGGCCAACAGGCCGGCTCCGGGGCTGGTGTGACGGATGTCGAATTGTTCTGATTGGCTGAGAGGGGAGGGTACCGCCCACCCATCCCTCGCGAGGGGAGCAGGCGAGGAGCAGGCGCCGGGTTTCTTAAAGGGGCCGCGGCTCATTCCGGAGACCGGGAGGCTGCGGTGTGGCGGCCTTACCGGGGTCGTCCGACAGCCCCAGCGAAACCCACCCCAGGGGCAGCGCGTCCTGCCCCCGCCCAGCCCGACATAGGCCCACCCCCGTCCCCTGCCAGACACTCCCCTCCCCCCCCAGATGGACCAGCTGCTTGGATTACCCACCACCAGCCCAGCTGCTGCCAGCTGTGACGGTCCCTGGGCCTGGCACCGCCGCTGTGTCACCCATCGCCGGGTGCGTGCCCTGGAGAGCCCCCTCCTTGCTCTGCGTCGACCCCGCGCGGGTCCCGATCCCGCCGCCCTCTTCCCCTCCTCGGAGCAGCAGCCCCAGGGGTCAACCCCCCTGTCCCCGGAGGATGGCTAGTGGCCACGCAAGGGCAATGGTTGGGGGCCCATGCAACTGCCTGCAATAGCAAGGGGGGGGGGGAGGGATAGCTCAGTGGTTTGAGCATTGGCCTGCTAAACTCAGGGTTGTGAGTTCAATCCTCAAGGGGGCCATTTAGGGAGCTAGGCCAAAAATTGGGGATTGGTCCTGCTTTGAGCAGCAGGTTAGACTAGATGACTTCCTGATGTCCCTTCCAACCCTGATATTCTATGATTAGATCATCTGACACCCTCGCCCCAGAGGTATTTCTCCATTGCTTCTTTCTAAGCCTGGCATTTCAAACACCCTTTTGATTTGGCGTTCACTGCGAAAGCCTAAAGGGACAAGTGACCGGCTGCTGGTCACAACGTCAGGCTGGTTCAGGTTCAGTTGCACTTTTAAGTCATGAAAAAGCAGCTTTTATGGATCCACACTAACACGGCTACCCCTCTGATACTTTAAGTCATGAAGATTTGCATTGCTCATGTATCATTTCCTCTTACCAGTGTTTCTGCTCTGTACTAAATATGAATTATTAATAGAAGAGAGTGTCACTTTTGGAGCCTTCTTTGTTCCAGGAGTCCCAGGTGGCTTCAGTGGCCTGTTGTGCTTTTCTCCATCTGTGGGACAGCGTGACCACTGGGACCATGCTTCTCAGATGTAGATCAAGCCCCAGCTATTCAGGTTATTTTGACCTCCAGGTTGCATTCCTGCGACGTGTCCTACAAGGAGCTATCTCTGAAGAACACTCAGAAGCTGTAGCAGGTGCAGAATTCAATGAGCCTACTTGGTAGGGCAGATGGAGGAGGCCCATTAAGTGCTCCACAGACCGCACTGGCTTCCCCGTCACTTCCCAGTGCAATTTGGGTTGTTGCTTTTGGTTCATACAGCTGTACATGTTTAGGGTCTAGCTAAGGCCTGATCCAAAACCCGTTGGATTCACTGGGCTTTGGATCAGGGTTTAAGCGAAAGAGAGCCTTTTTCCCTGTGTGCTGCCATAGCAGTCCCAGTCAGCAAATATGGAATGGCTGGAGGCCTGTGACTACTCTGACACTCTCTCCACCCTATTGGTCTGACCCAGGCCAAGTTTATTAATGTCTAGTTGCAAAGTGTAAAGACCATGGGCCAAGATCAGCCCTGGTGTTACCCCATTGAAGTCAAGTTACACCAGGGTGGAATGTAGCCTCTTCTGTTCATTCAAACTTTTGCCTGAGGCAGGCTAGCAGGTGATGCAGTTTGCAAGTTTAGGGAGTGTCTTGCCTACCTGTTAGGAAATCGGGATTATTTCTTATAAACCGAGTCAAAGTCTTCAGGAATGGACACAGCCTCTTAAAAATAATTGACGCAGCAGCGTCAGCACCTGGTGAGCACATACGTAGGTCAGATCTAAGCCGCGATGCAAATGAGGGGATTGTAACATCTTAAAGCTGATCAAGATCGTGATTTCTTTCTCCCAAAAGCACAGGCTGGTGTTGGAAGGAAAGTGTTTCTCATTGAATTGCGAGAGCTCCACAGCCCTGTGTCAGAAGTTGGCACAGGCAGTTGTAGTAAAAGCTTTCCCCTCTCTGCCCTGTGCTGGAAGGACCACTTCTATCCGTGGGCTCTCGGCTGAGAGTGCCAATAAAAGTGCCAGTGGTTTTGGGATGTGAACACGTGTCCACATGGAACTGAACCAAGAGCACCTTATTTCACACCGGATGCCAAGCTGTTAGGGTCAATAAGAATGCTTAAGCACCATCAAGCCGGCTGCATGTGAATCCCTGGCTTAGGGGAGAAAAGTTCCACTTCCCATTACTTACTCCAGAGGTGGGCAAACTATGGCCCGTGGGCCACATCCGGCCCGCGGCACCCTCCTGCCTGGCCCCTGAGCTCCTGGCCCAGGAGGCTCGCCCCCGGCCCCTCCCCCACAGCCTCAACTCGCTGCGCTGCCAGCGCCATGCTCTGGGCGGCGGGGCTGCGAGCTCCTGGGGGCAGCGCAGCTGCAGGGTCCGGCCTGACCTGGTGCTCTGTGGTGTGCGGTGCGTGGCTGGCTCCAGCTGGGCGGCTCGGCTCTAACACCGCCAGCCACCAGTGCTCCAGGCAGTGCGGTAAGGGGGCAGGGAGTGTAGGGGGGTCTTGGATAGAGGGCAGGGGAATTCAGGGGTGGTGGTCAGGAGGCAGGGGTGTGAATAGGGGTTGGGGCGGTCAGAGGATGGGGGGAGGCAGTCAGGGCAGAGGTTCCAGGGGCAGTCAGGGGACAGGGAGAAGGGGGGTTTGGATGGGGCAGGAGTCCTGGGGGGGCAGTCAGGAATGAGAGAAGGGGTTGGATGGGGCGGCGGGGGGCAGTCAGGGGTGGAGGTTCTGGAGGGGTTGGATGGGACAGGAGTCCTGGGGGGAGGGCATCGGGGTGAGAAGCAGGGGCCGGGTCACGCCTGGCTGTTTGGGGAGGCACAGCCTCCCCTAACCGGCCCCCCATACAATTTGCGAAACCCAATGCGGTCCTCAGGCCAAAAAGTTTGCCCGCCCCTGACTTAATCTTCCCAGCCAATTGGTTTGGCCGGAGGTTTGTAAAACAGTCAAACAAACAAGACAATCACCCTGACGTTATTTATACAGCTTCACTGGCAGAAGAAAAATTGAACATATTAAACTTTTTACATCAGCAAATCTGAAGGTGCCAAATATTTCAGTGGCTACAACTCCTAACTTCTGGGGGAGATTTACACCTACTACCGTTTGCTTCATTTCTCTTCATAACGCAATATGGACTTGGGAGCGTCACAAAAACATCCCCTCTCTTTTTAACAAAGCTCTATTTTCTCTCCACATTTTGCCTTTCGGGATAAGTGATTTCTGCTCAGTACAACGGACGGCATGTCACAAAAAGACCAGAAGGCAATGTGCTGCAAAACAGGAGAGTGTGTTCATAATCCACATTAAGGCTGGCATATTTGTTCACTCAGTGTTTAAGCGATTTGGGGTCATTCCCTTCAGGAGGTACTCGAGGCTGGCACTGAGCACACCACCAGCTAAGCCTCTTAAACCCATCTTGGGGCCCAAAAGTTCCCTGCATCACCTCATGCCCAAGAGGACATTTTTCTTTCAGGTAGATCTGGTAGTGTAATCCTTTTCCAGCCAGCTTCTTATGCAACCAGTCTGTGCTGAACTGAACAGCATGATCCAGCAAGGATTCAAGATCTGAGAGAGTCAAGAGTGAGCCTTGCGATAATGGGTGGATCCTTGCCAAATACAAGATCTCGTTCTTAATGATGTTCCCTGGAACATGGGGCAAGAAGAGAAGTTCGTAAACACAGGTGCAACAGTGAGAACCGATCACATGAATAGAAGGCACAGTTTAGTGGTCTGAGTGCTTGTCTAGGAGGAAGAAGCTGTTGTCCTCTCTTTGTGCCTATGATACCAGCTCCCCCTGTGGCTTTGGGGAAGTCAGGTAACCTCGCTTTGCCTCTGATTCTCTGTCTGTACAGAGGATAATACTAATACTCATCTACCTCTCTGGGGGATTATGAAATTTAAGAGCCTGATTTCCAGAGGCGCTGAGCAATTACAGCTCCCATTAAAGTTGGCACTCATGAAAATTAAGTCCTAACAGGTTTGTTTTCATAAAGAGCTGAGATATCAGAAAATATCAAGAATAAGAAGCCATGTCTAAAGCTAACATTTAACATGCGGGGTTTGCAGCTAATAAATCTGAGACCCATCTCTAACTGGGCCAAAATATCACTATTCCTGGAGGGTATTCCCCTCTCTGGTGGAACATACCCAGACCGGAGAAATATCTCTGGTCCAGAAGGGTGTAGCAGATGGGCATCGGCTGGCGAAGGGCTGCCAAGGCCTGCCCCCGGTGGAACTCGGGAGACAGGATGTCAGAAGCAGGTTCCACAGCGGGAGAGGTGCACCAGTGGATCTGGCAGTTGTAAAAGACGAGGAAGCCACCGCTGTTGAAGTGCAGAACCAACCTACAATAAACAGGATGGAAATTAGAGTGAGAAAATCCTGGCTTTGCAGTGTCAATCCAGAAACATTACAAGAACAATCATGTTCCAATCTAGCCGAATGGGAGGAAGAGGTGTAGAGATGGGAGGAAGGGGATCAAGGAAAACAGTAGGAACCGGGTGGAGAAATGGTGGAAGAGAAGGGGAAAGCACTATATATTTGCTAGCAGGGTCAATTGCTCAGCCTTTGTACCCCAGCCTCTGAAATCAATGGGAGTTGAGGGCATTCAGCACTTGGCAGGATTGAACCCCCTTGTAAGCACTGCTGTGTTTTCCCATATCTACAACTCCAGACACAACACTGCATTCAGAGCGAGATGGGACAATATACTGTAGTGACCAGAAAAATACCTAGAATGTTGCAGAGGAGGAGAACCGGGGGTGGGTTGACTGGGAAAAGGAGCCTTGTCTTTCCTGATTTGCAGTCATGTGGATTTAGTCAGCATCTCCTGGGGCAGATCTTCTGATGTTGGTTACCGGGGAGATTACATCCTATTCATATTTAAGTATAGCTTGTCTTATTGTTTCTTAGCTTGAGAAACCTGCCAGTTTCATGGGAACATTCTGCAGGAACCAACACATGCAATGCCCAGGACTGTCATTTTGAGACATTAAACAAGCAAGCAATAACGAAGCCTCTTTTGCCTCTTTAGAAACTGGGCATTGGGGGTGGGAGGCGGGCAAGGGGAGAAGAAAGAGAATGGCGTTTGCCATGACAAAGGATTCAGTCAATACCTGGGCACAGGATCCTTCCAGTCCCCTCTTTTGTTTGCCTTATTAGCTCTCGAGAACTCATTAGCCCGGATGCTGCCAAACAAGCCAAAATGGAAGCGCAGCCATTTCCAAGTGTCCCCTGCTGCATCTGAGGCATCAGGCACTGAGCGTTCAGTTTCCTGCTTCCTCTGCATACTGTGTTCTTTGGGGCTTAGCTGAGAGACATCCTCCTCCTGTCCTTCCTGAGCAAGGGAAAGGGAGCATGCCCCGTTGTCAGCCTTTCCTCGGATGGTTGGAGATGGGCTTCCACCCACGGTCCATGCTTCCAGAGAGGCACCAAATGCCAGGAATAAATTCTTTCCAGAAGCCTAAAAATAAAAGTCAAGGGAAGCATTTGAGGACTTATTCATTTGCAAACAATGAACAATTTAAGGGAAGTAACCCTCAGCGCCTAAAGGCGAGGTTCAAAGTGAAGGGCATGCAGTTAACATGAGGGAACTGGAGGACTCTCTGGGAGATATGAGCTAGCTACATTAGAGCAGGGACCCACATCCCATGAAGTCTTGTTCTCTTTGCCAGTCTAACTAAAGTGTCAATACGGCCATGATGAGCATCAGTGCATACCCGTCACGTAGTGTAATGAATACCAAACTGTATTATACGGATCAGCCACTAGGTGGTGAAAAGAAAAGGAGTACTTGTGGCACCTTAGAGACTAACCAATTTATTTGAGCATGAGCTTTCGTGAGCTACAGCTCACTTCATCGGATGCATACTGTGGAAAGTGTAGAAGATCTTTTATACACACAAAGCATGAAAAAATACCTCTCCTGCTGGCAATAGCTTATCTAAAGTGATCACTCTCCTTACAATATGTATGATAATCAAGGTGGGCCATTTCCAGCACAAATCCAGGGTTTAACAAGAACATCGGGGGTGGGGGGAGGTTAGGAAAAAACAAGGGGAAATAGGTTACCTTGCATAATGACTTAGCCACTCCCAGTCTCTATTCAAGACTAAGTTAATTGTATCCAATTTGCAAATGAATTCCAATTCAACAGTTTCTCGCTGGAGTCTGGATTTGAAGTTTTTTTGTTGAAGAATTGCAACTTTCATGTCTGTAATCGCGTGACCAGAGAGATTGAAGTGTTCTCCGACTGGTTTTTGAATGTTATAATTCTTGACATCTGATTTGTGTCCATTTATTCTTTTACGTAGAGACTGTCCAGTTTGACCAATGTACATGGCAGAGGGGCATTGCTGGCACATGATGGCATATATCACATTGGTGGATGTGCAGGTGAACGAGCCTCTGATAGTGTGGCTGATATTATTAGGCCCTGTGATGGTGTCCCCTGAATAGATATGTGGGCACAGTTGGCAACGGGCTTTGTTGCAAGGATAGGTTCCTGGGTTAGTGGTTCTGTTGTGTGGTATGTGGTTGCTGGTGAGTATTTGCTTCAGGTTGGGGGGCTGTCTGTAGGCAAGGACTGGCCTGTCTCCCAGGATTTGTGAGAGTGTTGGGTCATCCTTCAGGATAGGTTGTAGATCCTTAATAATGCATTGGAGGGGTTTTAGTTGGGGGCTGAAGGTGACGTCTAGTGGCGTTCTGTTATTTTCTTTGTTAGGCCTGTCCTGTAGTAGGTGACTTCTGGGAACTCTTCTGGCTCTATCTATCTGTTTCTTCACTTCCGCAGGTGGGTATTGTAGTTGTAAGAATGCTTGATAGAGATCTTGTAGGTGTTTGTCTCTGTCTGAGGGGTTGGAGCAAATGCGGTTGTATCGCAGAGCTTGGCTATAGATGATGGATCGTGTGGTGTGGTCAGGGTGAAAGCTGGAGGCATGTAGGTAGGAACAGCGGTCAGTAGGTTTCCGGTATAGGGTGGTGTTTATGTGACCATCGTTTATTAGCACTGTAGTGACCAGGAAGTGGATCTCTTGTGTGGACTGGACCAGGCTGAGGTTGGTGGTGGGATGGAAATTGTTGAAATCATGGTGGAATTCCTCAAGGGCTTCTTTTCCATGGGTCCAGATGATGAAGATGTCATCAATATAGCACAAGTAGAGTAGGGGCGTTAGGGGACGAGAGCTGAGGAAGCATTGTTCTAAGATCTTCTACACTTTCCACAGTATGCATCCGATGAAGTGAGCTGTAGCTCACGAAAGCTTATGCTCAAATAAATTGGTTAGTCTCTAAGGTGCCACAAGTACTCCTTTTCTTTTTGCGAATACAGACTAACACGGCTGTTACTCTGAAACCTGTCACTAGGTGGTGGTGTACGTAACATACCTTATTTATGAACAGGAGGACTTGGGGCACCTTAGAGACTCAAAAATTTATTTGAGCATAAGCTTTCGTGGGCTACAGCCCACTTCATCGGATGCATATAATGGAACATATAGTAAGAAGATATATACACATACGGAGAACATGAAAAGGTGGAAGTACCCATACCAACTCTAAGAGGCTAATTAATTAAGATGAGCTATTATCAGCAGGAGAAAAAAAAACTTTTGTAGTGATAATCAAGATGGCCCATTTCAGACAGTTGACAAGAAGGTGTGAGGATACTTAACATGGGGAAATAGATTCAATTTGTGTTTATGCTAACCCGAGCCATACCTGGGAAAGCATTAAAGGATCTTTTATAGTGAGCACCTCTGGTGTGTATCTCTCTGAGAAGTAAGCTCTGTAGTCAGTCTAGATCTGACACAGAAGCCTGACCTGCTAAAAGCAGACCTGCAGCCTGCTGTGTGCAAGAAGAACATGACAGGTAGCTCTTTTAAAAGCTGAAGAGGTCCCTCAGCTTGGAACAGCTACCCTAGGAAGCCTAATGCAGACACAATGGAAGCAGTGACGTTGCCTCCAGGACTGGAGCAGCCATGGGAAAAAAATAGAGGGTGCTCAGCACCCATTAGCCACCCGCTGATCAGCTGTTCAGTGGGCCCCGCCAATCAGCTCCTCCTACTGCCACGAATCAGCTGTTCGATGACAGGCGGGAGGCCTGGGGGGAGGAGGAGGAGGAGCGGGGCCGGGAAGAGGCGGAGCAAGGGCAGGGTGTGCTCAGGGGAGGGGGCAGAGCGAGCGGGGTGCCTTGGGAAAGGGGTGGGGCAGGGGTTTGGGGCGGAGTGCAGGTGGAGCACCACTGGGGAAAGCTGAAAGTCAGCGTCTGTGAGTTGTGAAGTTGTGTTGACATAACAATGGATGACATAGACTCTGATGACCTAATGGTTCTCCAGCAGTTCCCCTCTTCCACTCGGCTGTGAGGAAAGGTCTCCTCTCTGTTCCCCTTATCCTTATTTACTGCAAAATGGGCTGAGGCCAAACTAATCTCACAGGCTTAAACCATCAAACAGCTGCCAAGTGAAAGTTACTTTTGGTTACTAAGGGACCTGGCCAGGATGGGATAGAATCCCTATCCCCAAGCCATGCTGGAAGTAATGTGAATATTCATTGTGGGCTTTGGTCTACATTCCTGGCAGCATGAATTTAAATGTGTGACAATTTCTTTAGGTCAAGTCCTGAACTTAGAGTAGCGTATAAATGTAAGCAGGGAAATCTCTGAAGGTTTGTGTGTTCCTTAATCGTTTGTAAGAGGATACAAAGGTGGTGGGGGGTTGTTCAGGGACTTCATTAACACTGAACTGGCTGCAGCAATTGCTAGACTGGGTCAGTTCTGCTAGTCTGAGCTGAGGAGAGGAGCCACCCGCAGCTGATGGAAGGAATGTCCAGCCAGGCCAATGAAGACTCATGCACCTGTACATATCTGTTAGCGTTCCAGGGAGATTGCCGGAATGGGCAGCAGACTTCAGTGATTTTGCCCAGAATGCCTGGTTTCTAATCCTGCTTCAGGGTCTTCCATGGAAGATCTGGGACTGTAAGAAACTGTCCAGATAGAACCTGGGGCCATGGGGGTGGTTCTGGACCTCTGATGTGTCAACGTTGCCACAGGCTGGGCTCCCACTGGAGAACACTGTGAAGCTAGGCTTGACAGGAAGTATCACCCAGCAAAGCCCGAGTGGTGGCCCCTCACAGCCCACTGATTGGCCAATACCAGTATTTAAACCCGGAAGTTAGCATGACGAGCTGCCTGGACAATAACACTGCCTACCAACTTGCCTGCAAAAGACCCAGGAGTCTGCCTTCTGACCCTGGTTTGTCTTTGACTTTGCTATTTGACCGCAGTCTGTAACCTGGCGCCTGACCCCGACTTCCTGGTATCCTGACCTGGCTGGACTCTGACCCTGCTAGAGTATCTACGCGCCGTCTACAGCTGGGTGCCCAACCCTGACTTCTTGGCATTCTGACCCGGCTCGCTCCTGACCCTACTACTTGTCTCCTGATTGCAACTTGCCAACTGACCAGGGCTCACCCAGCTGCCCATGGCCTGGCCCTGAGAGAAACACAGTGGCCAGAGTTAAATATTGCACTGAAATCTCATCCCTGTTTAATGCACCAGTGCTCAGCTTGTAGCTTTCAAGCTGCTTGTCAAGTACAGTCATCTATGGGTACGTCTACACTGCCAACGAAAAGGAAAACCTGCAGCACCGTGCCGGAGCCCATGTCAACTGAGTCGGTCTCGCAGGGCTCGTGCTATGGGGCTAACAATAGCAGTGTAGTCGTTCCCGCTTGGGCTGAGCCTGGGTTCTAAAACCCACCCCCTTCGCCAGGTTTCAGAGCCTGGGCTGCAGTCTGAGCGGCATGATCTACACTGCTACTTTTAGCCCAAACGTGCGAGCCCGCGTCGGTCAACCCGGTCTCACTGCGGCGGGTGGCGGTGGTTTTATGGCAGTGCAGACGTACTCTGAATGTAGCTCTTGCAGGCCTGGTCCAGGTCAGCTCGCTTGGCCTCAGGTTTGGGTGGAGCACAGATCACAAGAGTAATTGCCTACTGATGGATACATACCAGGCAGAGCTGAGCACACTCACTGGGGGGAGTTGCATTTCCATCCCTCACCTCTGGGGCTTGGGGAAGGTACAAGGGAGGGGAAAAAAAACAACTGGTGAACCACTAGAATTCCCCCTGCTCCCCTTTCCCTTTCAGCAAAGAGGGTGGTAGAAGGAAAGAGTGACACTTTCCATCTCAGCAACCGAGGGTAGGAGAGAGAACGGAGACAGTATAACAGAGCCAACAACTTCAGAGTGTGCCCATCACGGGTCAGGTTGTCACAACACACATCAGTCGATGAGGTTGCCTACCACAGCATGTAGCCGATCAGTGACTGCTCGTAGCAAATATCCCCAACAGCCAGTGATGGGACACTAGATGGGGAGGGCTCTGAGTTATAACAGAGAATTCTTTCCCAGGTGTTTGGGTCTTGCCAAAATGCTCAGGGTCCAACTGATCACCATATTTGGACTCATGAAAGGAATTTTCCCCTGAGTCAGATTGGCAAACAGAAGGGGAGGGGGTTGCCTTCCTCTGCAGCATGGGGCATGGGTTACTTGCAGGTTTAAACTAGTGTAAATGGTGGATTTTCCATAACTTAACATCTTTAAATCAAGATTTGAGAACTTCAGTAACTCAGGTTAGGGGTCTGTTATAGGAGTGCGTGAGTGAGGTTCTGTGATGTGCAGGAGGTCAGACTAGATGACCATGATGGTCCCTTCTGGCCTTAAAGTCTATGAGTCTGTGATTATTTGGTGGGCCTCTGCATGGCATTCAATGATGCTTTGGCCCTTGACAGTGAAGCCCTGTTGACTTAAATTCATCTAGGAAGTTAATTTATTCTGGGTTATGAACAGTAAAAAAGCAAAGCATTCTGGGTATTTTCCCTGTGCGAACCCTGGCTCCCCCATGTCCCTCCCTTTCTGTAATTCTGACCCTGAGCTCAACCTTCTCGATATAGAGTGGCCACTGTTCACAGCTGAAGGTGCCTTCACATTAGTCCTGTAGCCATGTGGGTTGTGCCTAAGCCTGTCTATACAGCACCTGTTTACAGCTGCAAACTAGGGACATGTTCCACACTGAGCATGAGAGGCTACCCTGATGTTGCTCATATGCCAACACCCTGCACCTTTGCAGCACCAGCCGTGCAGTTAGGGCAAGGAAAGGGAGGTTTGTGAGGCAGGACTGACATGTCCAGACAAGGCTGCCTTTTAGCATAGCTCACCTGAGAGTCCTGGAGCCTCATTGCTTTCAGATCCTTCAGGTTTCTCTGCCTGCTGCTTCCTCCCACCTTGGCCACTACCTGCCCCACAAAAGGAGCAGTCAGCAACTGGAACCTCTTCACAGACGGGCCTTCTGGCATCTCTGGCTGGTCAATGGGAGCTGCAGGTGCACACGCTGGGGGTCTCATGCAGGGCACCCTAGAGCTGAGATGCATAAACTCAGTGATTGCTTAGGGAAATGCGGTTGCACATAAACAGGCCATTGTCCCTGGTCCTCTCATCTTCCGTGATCATGCTCCTCGCCCATATGGGAAGGGTTACAGAAACACTCAGATCATTTCCCTTTCCCCACTCAAACTCCAGCTGCAACAGGAAAGTCTGCAGTGGGCTGAGCCTGGCCTGTGTTTCTCAAGGCGACAAGCAGCAATACTCTGGCTTAAGCTTATGCTCTCCCATTAGATTCAATGGAGGAGGCTTTGATCCTCAACTCCGCACGGTCATTATAAAAAAAATACAGTCCTGGTTCCCCTGCTATAATGTCCCTGCCTCCCTGTTCCCTCACCTTGGGATGCCATTGGGCATGCCCCCCGTTTAATACTTTGTGATGGGGGAACTGTGCTGAGACCATCAAACAGCCAGCAGATGGTAACAGCTTCCAGTCAGCAAGCTCAAGCCAGGAAACTAGAAGCCAAGTGCCCTATACATCATTCCCAGCCCCCTAGAGCCATCCGCTCCACCCTCCAAAACTATCCTCTATTTCTCCCTTAAAATTCATTGGCATGAGACAGTCCATAAGTCAGAGGGGTGGATTGTGCAGCCCATCTGAACAGTGACAGCAAGGAAGCAAAACCACGGCCTTGTTTGCAGAACTGCACAGTGTGAATAGTCCCTGCTTCTGTCACTTAAAAGGAGTCAGTGAGGGCTTGATCCTGGGACATCAGTGAGAGTTGGCAGAATGAGAAATAGGACCCAGGAGTCTTGACCCACCCGTTCCCTGCTCTAAGCATGAGGACATGCGGCCTCCCTCCAGATTAAATTATAAAATAAAGTTAGTGCCACGTGATTCTGAACAAACTAATGCAATGGTTCTCAAACTTTCGTGCTGGTGACCCCTTTCACATAGCACGCCTCTGCGTGCGACCCCCCCCCTTCTAAATTAAAAACTCTTTTTATATATTTAACACAATGATAAATGCTGGAGGCAAAGCGGGGTTTGGGGTGGAGGCTGACAGCTCGCAACCCCCTATGTAATAACCTTGCATTCCCCTCCCTACATTCCCCAAAAATCTAGTACTCCTCATTTTCACTGCTGAGAACAATTCACACCAGACATAGAGCCCCCCAGCACTGAGGTGAGAGCATTATTATCCCTGTAGGAAGAAATCCCACAACGCTGGGAGTTTCAAGCATGTCCCTCCTGTTGGGTCTTTGTCACACAAACCACACCCCGCATTTGGGCCTTCCTCAGCTGACAGCAGGGCTGCATCTATTACTGGCCAAGCAGCCTGGGGTCTTAAAAACTAAGGTTCTTTCTTTTTAATGGTCTTCAATTTGGTGATGTCGCACACAGTGAAGGCAAGAAGAGCCTCAGGTCCCCACTGAGAAAATCCATCATTGATACTCACTGCTAATCCCAGCCTCCGCTCTGTCCCACGCCTGACCCCACCCCAGGACTGCCACTGTCTGATCTCTCCCTCCTGCCAGTTTCACACACCCCACCCTCTGGGGGCTTTGCACCCAAGTGTAAATCATTTCTCAGACCCACTCAGTCGAATACCTAATTACAGCTCTCCAGAGCAATCGAGCCCAGAGTTACTAATTGGGCCCTGCTTTTGGTCTGCATATTTCAGGGGGGCAGAGGGGAGTCAGATCCTGATGCTCCAGAAAATCATGGAATTAGCTGAAACATCGTGAGAGGTAGAAAAAAGTGTTGGGGTCTTTGTCTTCTGGTTTCTGAGCCTCTCGGGTTCTTGTTTTCAAGTTTTTCTGTGCAATTGTGAGGGCTAGAAACGTACATGTTTATTTAAAAATTAAACCTGATATTTGCACTTCAGAATTATTATATCATGATCAGGGTGATGATGTTTCTTAGGGTAGTGCCAAAGGGCACTAGACTGAAGTGCAAACACAGAGTAATAAACAAATTCCTTAAGAGAGTCTCATGCAGTCACATCCCTCGGGTTTTAAGAAGCCTGCCAGCAACCATGAGATGCGTCGGCAACTCTGCCTCTAGGCTTTGATTGTGCCTGTGAAGCATTGGCCCATGTTGGGGGCTCTGCAGAGTGGCACTGCCCCAGGGGAGGTCCAGAAACCACTGAGGAGTCCTTGTGGCACCTCAGAGGCTAACAAATTTATCTGGGTGTAAGCTTTCATGGGCTAGAACCCACTTCATCAGATGTATGGAGTGGAAAATACAGGAGCAGGTATAAATACATGAAAAGATGGGAGTTGCCTTACCAAGTGTGACAAGAAGGAACAAGGCCTCCCAGAGCAATCAGCGTGCCAGGAAGCTTACCCACTCCCACTGCCTTTAAAGAGGCACTTGCCCGTCACAGCTCTGCTAGCCAGTGGGCAGGTGAAGAGGAAGGACAGGGCTGTCTTCCTGCCCTTCCCTGAACTTAGCTCTAGCCACTTCCCCTCCACGCTCTGATGTACTCCCACCCCCATACTTCCTCCCTCCTTTGCTGTTGCAGGTTTTTGCCTTTCCCACCTTTTCAAAATGCAAAAATGGGACACATGCAGGAGCCTCCTGCTCCTCCTCTTCCCCCTGAGGCCACGCCCCTGGCCATCAGGCCGAAAGCTGGAGCTGAGTAGTGGTAGGGTTGCCAACTTTCTAATCGCACAAAACCCAATACCCCTGCCCCGCGCCTTCTGCGAGGCCCCACCTCTGGCTGGTTCCATCCCCGTCCCTCCATCGCTTACTCTCCCGCACCCTCACTCACTTTCACCGGGCTGTGTCAGGGGGTTGGGGTGTGGGAGTGGGACTCTGGGCTCCGGCTGGGGGTGCGGGCTGTGGGTGGGGCCAGAAATGAGGGGTTTAGGGTGCGGGAGAGGGCTCCAGACTGGGAGCAGGGGGTTAAGGTGCAGCAGGAGGGGGGAGGACTCCAGCTGCGGTGTGGACTCTGGGGTGGGGCCGGGGAGGAGGCGTTTGGGGTGAAGGAAGGAGCTTTGGGCTGGGGCAGGGGGTTGGAGTGCAGGGGTGAGGACTCCGGCTGGGGGTGCAGCCTCTGGGGTGGGACTGGGGATGAGGGGTTTGGAGTGCAGGAGGGGGTGCGGGCTCTAGGAGGGAGTTTGGGTGCGGCAGCGGGCTCAGGGCTCGAGCAGGGGGTTGGGGTGTGGGAGAGTGTTTGGGGTGCAGGCTCTGGGTGGTGCTTACCTCAGGTGGCTCCCGGAAGCAGCCAGCATGTCACTCCAGCTCCTAAGCGGAGGTGCAGCCAGGTCACTCCGTGCTCTGCCCTCACCCGTAGGCGCTGCCTCTGCAGCGCTCATTGGCCATGAACAACCCACCCACATCAATACATCCTCATATCCCATCAGCTCTCCCACTTCTCCAAAACTCTTTTCCCCCTCAATTCTGTCCCCCCTCCCCTGCCCCCCCCACATAGTCCATTGGTCCCCCCCACACACACTTACCATAGAATCATAGGACTGGAAGGGACCTTGAGAGGTCATCTAGTCCAGTCCACTTCCCATCCCAGGCCCTCTATTCTGGTTCACACGCAGCCTATCATGAGTATTGGGAACTATACCTTCAAGTGACTTAGCTTCAGAGTCCGGAAGTCTCAGCAGAAGCCCATGTGCTGTTATGCAGAAGCAGCTGGAACAGTTTCAAACTTGTCCAGGAAGTCTGGGCTGGAACAGGGAATTGAACCTGTGTCTCTGTAGAACTACGGACGAACATGGAACCAGGAGTACATAGAAATTAAATATAATAACCTGAGTTGAAGAACAGAGCAGCTAAAGACTCCACCAGAGATAAAACTCTGGAAATAGGGAAGACAACTGGAAGAGATTTCAGCAGCGCTGCACTCTGTGTCTGTGAGCAGTGGGTCCCTGTGAAAAGGAAGACCTTCAGAAAGTAGCCTTATTCCTCCAGAGCAGGTTCTGATGCAAAATTGTATGTAAGAGTTGTCAGTTAACTCCGAGAAAGCTCACTGTGAACCTGTATTGCAGACTGAGGAGTACTGCACTCCATGTAACAACATACGAGAGAGGTTTTTAAACAGGGAGTACAAAAAGAAGGTGAAATCATAGGAGAGTTTGTGACTGATCACAGGCTGAAAACCAAGCTTGCAATTGTGGGGGGCTAACCAAATCCCTGCTAAAAGTCCAGGTGGTGATTGGAATCTGGAACACAAAACTCAGAGGCTGCTGGGAGACTCAGAATTAACTCTTGACACGACACTAAAATTTGCGGAGCAATGGAAGTCACCCGGCCCAGAATGAAGCTGGTGCAGGACAGACAGTGCTCTGACACTATAGACATGACTGAGGATCCCAAATGCCACAAGAAAAGAGACCTGAGGCTGAAAGACACACGGCGCTCAAACGCAGAGTCAAGTAAGGACAGCACATAGTGAGAGCCACACATGCTGTGACAAGCAGCAATGTGCCTTTTGGTTTCAGATTGACAGTTCATTTGTCGGCTGCCCCAGGAGTGTCCACTGTTCCTATGAACAATTCATCTGAGCTACAGGTGATGTCGTCACCCTCTTTGTCCATGCTTTGCTGGTGCTTGCAAAAATCTTGCATAATGATGTAATCATCTTTGAAAGATGCAAGAGCTGCAATAGATTACATCGCTTTGCAAGATTTTGCAAGCACCAGCAGAGCATGGACAAAGAGGGTGAAGCCATCACCTGTAGCTCAGATGAATTGTTCATAAGAACAATGGACACTCCTGGAGCAGCCGACGAATGAACTGTCAACCTGAAACCAAAAGGGACATAGATTCATTTTGGATTGGACACTGGTGCACAAGCCAATGTGTTGCCAGGAGCAGTGTTATTAACGCTAAAAGAAAGCCACAGTGTAAGATAAACAGATAAAACTCCGGGCTTAGAGTGGAGAGTTTATCCTCACTAAAGGAATATGCAAATTAGATATATGAGTAAATAACCTGGAGAAGATACAATTTGTAATAGTAGCAGGGTAAGGCTTATCACTTATTGGGTTAAAAGTGTGTCAAGCCCTTTGT